CGTAATCTGTCCGCTTCGAGGGTGTCGCGTGGGCGGACGTCACGGGCAAGGTGGAGCTGACACGCTCGTGTTCCCTCCTTCTCTAACGGCTCTCACCTCCCAGCATCCACCGCAGGAGAAACCAAGCTGCGACGCATGGGGTCCCATCCTCCCTCTTCCCTCTCGTCGATCCCATCCCCCAAAACACTCGAGTTACGACGCGGGAGAGCACACATCCGTGGTGCACCGCGGGAATAGGAAGCGGCAGCGGCGGTGCACGGACTCCCCTCACCCCCATTCTCTGGCTCCTCACATGTGAAGTGCGGCGTATATGTCCCTCCCAAACCCTAGAAATTCGACGGGCTGGTGCTTCTTCCACACAGTTGGCTAGCTTGGGATCGGTTGTGGTCATAGATGGTGGCGATGCACACTGGGCTCGCAAAGTACGTTGGTGGCAGATGGAAGATGATGGAGCCAATGCAAAAGATAGACGGCATGACTTCACGGGCAAACGGAGTGGTATGGAACGAAGAAATTGGTACCCTAAGTGGTAAATTTTGAAAGGAGTGTGGATTGCGTGGCAAATCCTTAGAAGCCTGCATATTCGGTGGCAAATTCTGAAATTTCTCGTTTAGATATGCACCATACACATTCTTACCATGATTTGCAGAGAACCTAGGCCATTGGCGAAGCTAGGATTTAAACTTGAGGGGGCCAACTTAAGCTCATTACCGAGTGACAATGACCATAAAAAAGTTGCATCATAATACGCACAAAATTGAAACATTTTGACATGGATAATAAATCATATGAATATATTTGTTAGTTTTGACCATACAAAAGGATGTTTTCCTGCCTATTATTTAGTCATTGGCTACATACATATTTTTTGTTTTGAAGATTTTAGTATTTCAAATTAAAGTGAAGAGGTAAATAAAAATAAAGTATTAGGGCTTACAAAAAAATGCATATTTAGAACACGGTATGCGGACATTGGAACAACTGAGCTGTCCAAGTGTGTTGTGTTCTTCGTGTTAGCTTGTTAGGTCTGCTTAGCCTAGGAAGCAGTCATCACCATCTAAAAACGATATACTGCTATGTCTCCCAAATAACTTGTTTGCATGCAATCCTAGCTGGTAGTGGTAGCATTGGAAGCCTGAATACGCCAATGCACCAAGTACATGACATAATCATGTATTTGATGATTAATTAGCCGGTACTTAAGAAAAAAAATTCGCCGTTGGGGGAGGCCTGACCTCCCTCCACCCCTCCCTGGCTCTGCCCTTGACCTAGGCTTTTTCTCCACATTAATGTATATGCACTTTCATGATGTATTATTTGATCACCTCCATCTTGATGGACACACTCTAACCCCATGTCATGCAACACCACCCGGCACATGTAACTGACAAACAACACATGAATAGTAACTGCCAACAAATCACTACATGTTTTTGCACAATTAAGCCCATTCAATCCACACCAACACACCTCTATCAAAGAAACATCCACCGTATACGAATATGGATTAAAAAACATATACCACCGGTAAATTGTGACTCACCTAATGCCTCCCCAGTTACTGACCACACCACTGTCCCCATCTCAGTCTCATCTTATCTGTGCCTTTTTATGTGGGCATCTGGTAGAGGTGCTCTCTTCATCTGCATCCACCATTTCATTCACCAACTAAGTAGGCCTTTTTGAGCTAGGTGGTTGGTTGGCCTTGGCCTTATTAATTTTTCATGTGGTACTACAATATGCCATTATGTCCCTAAGTTGTGTCCTTCACATTTTATTTAGTATCTATGTAGTTATGTCTTTTACATTTATTTACATAGTTATGTCTTTTACATTTTTTTTACATAGTTATGTCTTTTACTTTTTTTTACATAGTTATGTCTTTTATGTGGTTATATGATGGAGAAGAAGCTTCCGATTTGTCTTTCTTGCCGTTTTGAGTTTCTTTTCTTGTGGTCAGAGCAGAATGCAAGAATTAAAAATTAGGTGAGAAATGGAACAGAAATTTTGGATTTAAACTTTGTTTCTTCTCTTGTTGTTATGCCCTCTGATATTTGGCCATGGCCACACCTCAATGTTTTCCACCACTGCTTCTACCATGCACCTGCAGTTTGATCTCTCATTGTTCTGCATTTGATGCGTGCGTTTGTAGCAGTTGTTGCCTTGTTGGTACTAAGTTGTTGTTGTTGTTGTTGTTGTTTCTTCAATGCTCAAAATTGCAACTTGGGAGATAAAGTTTGGCGGAGAAAGAGAAGTGTGAGAAGAAATATCGATCCTAATAACAATGGATGATGCAATACCGGCAATTTTTTGGGGCATCCAAAATAGTTTTGACTAATCAACCCATGTTACCCTGAAAATTATGTGGCCTATATCTGCATTAAGTCACCTGTTTATACAACATTTCTGGTTTCTTATCCTTTTTCTTTCTTAGTGTAAATGTTGTATGCTGATTGTTATTGTTAGCTGGGCCTCTGTTGCTTCGTGTAATTATTCTTGCTTTATTGAGGTGTTACGTATGATGGAAAGTTATAGTGTAGTTTGTACTTTGGAGTAACATGTAATCCAGTGAATTATCAGTTCTTCCTTCATAAGACACTATTTAGCATTCATTTTACCTGTCATTGTTTGTGGGCAATTCCTACCTATTTGTTTGTTTTTATATAATGGCAATTCCCCAGTACAACACTAACATTTCTCACTAATGGCTTTCAATCTTTGTTGTTCTTTAAAATGAATGGTTACCTCAATTGCCTGATTTCATAACCCAGACAAAGAAATTTCTCTTGTATTTTTTTTCTTTGCTTTTTTTAGTTGTTTCACAAAATTATATTGGTGAACCCGTCAATTTTTATAAATAGATGCCATGGTAACTGCTATGTACAAAATATAGGATCAACCTGTCAGAGATTTCCCTAATTCTCTAGTAATCTGGTGCGTCTTACTGGCTGGCTGGCTGGTGGTTGATCTGCTCGCTGGTGGTGTTGCAGTCTTGCAGGATTCATCAGTGGTGTGAGCTGAAGTGGGGGTTCTGTGGTTTTTTGTTTCTCCGTTAAGGTTTCTCTTTCCGTTTCCCCTCTCGCTTGAGGGGACTGTTCACATGTTTGTTTCTGTTGCACTCCCATTTATTGTAACTTCTTAAATGGAAAGGGAAAAAAATGTTAATGACACTTTACACTAGTTTCTGCCTAATGCATTTTCTCCAAGTGGGATGTACACTAGTTTAGCATTGCTCGAGGAGAGAGGATTGACGTGTCCTTTCATGTAAACATTTCTATTACTGTATTTTTGCAAATTTAGTGCATCTGATATCTAGGAATGTGTTTTTCAATTCACATGGATTGCTCCTTTTCTGTGCTGCTAAACTAAGATCATATTTGCCTATAATTAGTCTAGGTAAAAATATATCTTTTGCGATGTAATTCATATTGCACCTCGTTGGTGCTTTTGCCCTCAGAAAAATATTGACGAGACTGTTCACTAATTTCTGCCTAATGTATTTTCTCCAAGTGGAATGTGCATTTAAATATTTTAGCACTTTACACGTTTGTTTGTAGATATGCCTTCTGGAACAGGGAAATGGCCTCTTCCATGAATGAATGAGCCCCCTCTATAGCCATCACTTGAATGATCAGGTAGCATATTGATTATAAGTTTGTTGATTTGAGGCTAGCAACTTTTTTACCAACATAGTAATTATCTTCCAGTTGCAGATGTCTTATGTTGCTGGTACTAACCAAAGTGCGATTCCACTTGGTGGGATGGCCAGATATTCAGTGGGCATGGACAGTGGAATCCATGGCGCTACAAGAACTGAATCAAGAACTCTCTATGTGGAAGGACTACCTTCGAACTGCACAAAGAGAGAGGTTGCACGTATCCTTTTCTATGCTTGTAAACTAAAATCACATTTTCCTAGCTATAATTAGTCTAGGTATCTTTTGCGACGTAATTCATATTACACCTCCTAGGTGCTTTTGCCCTTAACTCTTTCTTCTGCAGATATTTTTCGCCCCTTTTCTGGTTTTCGTGAGGTGAGATTGGTCAACAAGGAGTCTAGGCATGTAAGTTAAATGCTACCTGTGATCCAAATTTTCCCTGTTATTTTTTGCAAAGCCAAGCATGCTTACATGTCAAATCCCCTCTCTGTTTTGCAGGCTGGAAGCTGTAACCTCTTGTGTTTTGTTGATTTTTCATCTCCTCCTGAAGCTCGTGCTGCTCTGGAGACTCTGCAAGGTAATTATAACATCATATTTTCTGCATCCATATGCATTGTACTTATGTTGCCAATTTCGTTAGATAGTGCTTGCGCACAGTTTCATTCTTTTATGTTTGTGTGCCTTTAGTCTTTTTAAAAATCTGTTTATTTTTCTGAATATTTTTCCCTTTGTCCCACATCCAGTAGGTTTTAGTGTGATGACTGAACTAAAACTAAGATTGTTATTTCGAAATATCATATTTTTTCCTTGTTCCACTTTGAAACCAGCTTACTGTCATTCTATGTGTGCTATATCATATGTAATAATATTTGTGTGCACATCAACTTTAGTGCTTTCCATCATAAAACTAGACGTTTCATTGGTAGGGAGAGAATAAACTTTGAGCTTCTAATACTTGTTCAGGTTATAAGCTTGAATTTGGCTCTGAAATTATGACGTTTTACTTTGCAGGCTATAAGTTTGATGAACATGACCATGAGTCTTCCAACCTGCGCACACAATTCTCTCTCACTCCTCGCAGGAGGTCAATTGGTGGGCCTTGTGTTAGAAACTAAGTTTCTTGGGTGGAGTTGAATTAATAATGCAGAGCAAAATTTGTGGAGAATCTCTAGGGAGACTTGTATACAATGCTAGACCAAACTTGACTCTAGGGAAACAGCCTCTTCCACGAAGCAATGAGCCCCCATTATGTCCATCGCTTGAACAATCAGGTATTATATCAATTATAAGCTTGTTAATTTAAGGATAGCAACTTTCTTACTAACATAGTGCTGGTTGCAGATGTCCTATGCTGCTGGTGCTAACCAAAGTGCTATTCCACTTGGTGGGATGGCCACATATTCAGCGGGCATGGACAGTGGAAACCATGGCGCTACAAGGACCGAATAAAAAACTCTATGTGGAAGGACTACCTTCGAACTGCACAAAGAGAGAGGTTGCACATATCCTTTTTATGCCTGTAAACTAAAATCACATTTTCCTAGCTATAATTAGTCTAGGTATCTTTTGCGATGTAATTCATGTTACACCTCCTAGGTGCTTTTGCCCTTAACCCTGTCTTCTTCAGATATTCTTCGCCCCTTTCTGGTTTCTTTGAGGTGAGATTGGTCAACAAGGAGTCTAGATATGTAAGTTAAATGCTACTTATGAACCAAAACTTCCCTGTTCATATTTTGTAAAGCCTAGCATTGCTTATATTTTGTTCTCTTTTGCAGGTGGAAGGTATATAATCTCTTGTGTTTTGTTGATTTTGCAACTCCTTCTGAAGCTCGTGCTGCTCTGGAGACTCTGCAAGGTAATTACAACATCATTTTTACCTATGAAATTTATGATTGTCTGCATCCATATGCATTTTCTTATGCTGCCAATTTCTCTAGTTAATGTCTCTGCACCTGCATTAGATGCTTTTCTTTGCTGTGCTTTAACATGCATTGAAGTATAGCAGTTTAGTTTTCATAGGCACCCATTTCACCCGTCATACACTTTCAGCCAAAAATTGCCACAGTTGTGCCAGCCACACTTTTCATGGCAAAAAAGTGTGGCTGCCAACTAAAGTGCTATATACAATGATTAATGTATGCCATCTTCATTTGTGGTTAGTACATTTTTTTTCTGTCATTTTGTTTCACCCTATATAGACCATTGTTGCATGTCTACGACTATTAAAGGATATGCTTGCTATTCTGAACAACTTAGTAGCAAGCTCTTCTATCTTAAACCACATGCCAACAGGCTTATCTACTTTCACGATTTTTTGTGAAACCAGGCACTATTTTGTCATTTCAGTAATTCAGTTAAAATATAATTATACAATGTCAGTGCGCTTTTGGAGTTGCTATGGAAACCATTGTTGGAAACAGGCAGGGGCATATGTACAGTAGTATCACTGGTCTCAGATGGATGCCATCCAACCAATCCAGTGTATTGCTAGCATTTGTACGCATTTACGCACTTACCCCCGGCAGTGCAACTGTGCAAGCTTGTTGACCCCAGCCGCTAAATTGCAGCAGCTCAGAGGCTAAACAATATAGCTCCATCTTTGAAAACTTAAACAGTTTAACTGGTGTGGTAGGTGCTGGAGCCCGAATCTATTTTCCAACATCCTTCCTCTTTCATATTATAAGATGTTTTAGATTTTGAATAGATTCATTCATGCATCCATCATCCTTCCTCTTTCACATTATAAGATGTTTTAGATTTTGAATAGATTCATTCATGCATCCACATGCGCTACATATATATGCTCAACTTCATATGTATGTTAGTGAATTTAGACAAGAGATAAAAAGACCAAAACTTTTTATAATGTGAAACGGAGGGAGTATATGTTTTGGTACCATCAGCCACCACTAATGTCGCAGTTTAAAATATTTGATCTGTTGACTATAATTATTTCTTTTAGCTAATGTTTCTATCCATGTAATTAGGCCAATAATTCTATTATCAACTATTAAAAGTTAACCATATTTTTAGCTATTAGTAAAAACAACTTCAATAACTTGCTTGTCTGACCAAAAGAATAAAGGATTTGTATGTCTTATTAGGTTCTAACTCTCAAAGTATTGCTCAATACAGAATTAAGTCTAAAATTAAGTGATTCAAACCTTAAACTTTAATTAGTCTCAAATGAACATGCTCATTGAAACAACAGCAATATTCTACCGACAACTCTAGCTAAAAAGATCAGCTCAAGGACACCTTAGCTTAGAAATATTTAGAAATGGAGCCCTTCCAAACACCGCATAAGTATAAGTGAGTGGTGACACCGGTGCCCCAAAATCCTGGATACACCCCTGGTAACAGGGAAACCACCAAGTTTTGGTTGGATCGGTGTCTGCATGGCAAAACGATATTTGAATTAGCTCCAAACTTGTGCTAGCTGATCTCTAAGTGCACCTTTAAACAATGCACTGTGGCTCAAGCGCTGAATAACAGAAGATGGTTGGCTGCCACATGGTGCTTTTATTGTTCAAGTGCTTATTTCACTTGAGAAGGCATCTACATCAGGAAGTTGGCCTATAATGCTTATTTCATGTGGTCTATCAAGTTTGCTCCTTGGAAGTGAATTTGGAAAAGTTGGGCTAGCTTCGCTGCAAGTTATTCACTTGGTTAGCTGTTTAACAACTGGTGTTGGATGGTTGACAGGCTTGCTAAGCGAGGTTTATCGCACCCGAATGCTTGTCCCTTCTGCGACCAGGATGATGAATCTATTCGGCACTTTCTCATCTCATGTGTATTTCCCCGCCATGTCTGGACATGTATTCTACAGAAGCTGAATATGTTGGCCTCCGTGCCTCGGTCTACCGCGTGTCTCTCTAGTTGGTGGTAAGTTAACAGAGGTGTTCCTAAAGACCAAAGAAAGGGGCTCAACTCCTTGATCATTCTAGTAAGCTAGGAAATATAGAAGCACCGGAATGCATGTGTGTTTGAGGGAACAAAGCCCCAATGTTCAGGTGGTTCTGCATTCTATTGCGGAAGAGAGCAGCCTGTGGTGCTGGGCTGGCACCTCCGCACTTCGTGAGCTACTTGTTTGGTCGCTCACAATAGTCACCTAGTCCGTCCTTATGGTGTTATCCTCCTTTGATCTTGTTCCCATTGGCAATAGGCAATTGTTTTTAGTCCTTTTGATCTTGGGGGGGGGGGGGGGGAGAAGGGGGTTTATCCTCCTTTATAACTTTCTAAAACAATCGTCTAATTTGCATCTCATATTTCCCCAAAGGTACATCAACCATTTCTACGCATCAGTAAAATTTGTCAATTGGCCGTTGAAATGGCAAAATTACTACTACATTTTTCTATTTTGTTACTAAATTATACATTCAATACCCTTTAAATTCTACAACAACCTGTAACCCCTTCCAACCGTTTGTAAGTCAGCAGGGTCTAGATTTGTTTTTGTTTTTTTTGGCCCCCATGGTATATTTCTGTTAAAAAAAGATAAAAGTAATAACCTTTTTTTAAAAAATCTTAGTTCTGTCACTTGTTCCCATTGGCATTGACTGTATACAGCTTCTACCAATGCATTTGTGTTTTGAGGAACTGCTAATTAAAGTACTGGAGTTTTTTATGTGGTAGCACGCCCTTAGTAGTATTGCAAACTTGCGATTCTTGGTGAGTAGAAGCATGATGTTGTTACATAGGCTCATATCAGTTGCTGGTGTGATTAGACAAATCATGCTCTTTGACATGAATGAACCTATCCTAATTTATCCTTTGAGCTTCATTACCAGGAACAGTAGTTGGTTGTGCTGTATACTTTTAATCTTGCGTGGATATTCACCTAGTCTCAATGTTTCATGAACGTGAGAACCACATATGGCTGCCAAAACATGCAAGCGTGATTCCAGTTTATTGAATCGTGCATGCTAGATAAAGGGCCTAATTACCTTTATAGATGTGTTGGCAAGCAGGAGTAGAAATCAGTGTGGTTGTGTGAGTTTAATGATCTTTTGTATTTTACTATTGCAATAAATTGAAAGTTTAAGTTGGGAAGAAAGGCCGTTCTGAACATTGTTGTTAGAGGTTTAAACAAACGAGATGGTATTAGAAAGGGGGTCCTGGTTATCCTGCAACCTTAACCACCTTTACCACCTGTTATCATTATCCATTACTTGGCTGTATCTTCGTAGGCTGATGCTAGGTTATTCAACCTCTGGCTGTTTGTAGCAACAGGGTAATAGAACATTTATTGATTTATACTCACTGACTAATAAATGAAACGCCGGTTTCCTTCTTTGTCAAGAGAGAAGAATTTTGTCCTTCCTATTAGACAAGATAAACACGGCATATTACTTTTCTAGCAATTAACTGTGGGTAGTGATCGTTTCTTCTTTCTGATTGTCGAAATGGCCATTGCCATCCAGCTTTCCACCATAAATAAACTGACATGGATATTGCGGTAAAAGAACTGCCATTGATAGCAAAATTCTAAAATCTATCCTGCAACATTAATTTCTGACTAGAAGAATAAGGCAAATTTATTTTTTTGCTCCTGCTGCATTATTTGCTTCTTCAAGTTCCAGCATGACAATATAAATTCATTCGACTAGACAAACTTGAAATGTTTAATGGACGTAGTGTAATAATAGTACTACCATTTATAGCACAGTTTTGTCACTACCTGCAGCAATTTTGAAAAAAAATCAACACTAATGTGGTTGTAACTATCAGACATGTTGATACGAAATCTATTCATAGGATGTGACCTCAACTTCTGCCTGATACGCTCAAAGGTCTGTGTGTTTTGCAGTGATCACCAGTTACTACTAAGGAAAGGTGTTCGGTGATGCCACTAAGATCATGGTTCCAGGGACGATGCAAAGGCAATGGAACATGTTTCACTGAGGTTCTCATTCAGGGCAAAGGGGAATTGCTCTTCGGAGCTATGTGAATTTGGTAAGTGGTACCCTTCTTAGAGTGGTCTATTCCATGGTGCAACAGCTTATGCATCATACAGATTTTGGAATGGTTCTTATGTTATGATCGTTTTGATGTACTCCATTCATCCTAAACATATTTAAGCTTGTCTATCTACTTTTCTTTTTTCAGTTTGGCAGAAACACTGCTTCGTATGGTTGCAAGTGTATTCTAGCGTGAATTGTATTTTCTCAAGGTCTAAACTGTAACTGAATTTAAATTGTAATGCTTGGAGTGAATGTCTTAAGTTAAAAACTTTTGCTTTTTGTTTGAGTTAAGTACTCCCTTTGTTTCATATTATAAGTCGCTTTTTTTATAGTCAAACATCTTTAGGTTTAGTTAAGTTTATAGAAAAAATTAGCAATATCTATTCCACCAAATTAATTTCATTATATATAACATTGTATATTTGATAATATGTTTGTGTTGTATTGAAAATGTTGTTATATTTTTCTGTAAACTTAGACAAACTTAAAAAAAGAGTTGATTAGGAAAAATGTCAAAACGAATGACTTATGGTATGAAACGCAACGCGGGGAGTATATGGCTATGGTACAAAGACATTGTAACTACAGAAGTATATTGATTTGCCCCTCTTTTCTACTTCGAGCGGATGAGATGAAGTTTACTCCGCTCCACGAAGAGTTGATTTTTACAAAATTCCGGACAAATTAGCATCATGATGAAAAGATGTCGAAGCCATCCAATAAGCCCCTTGATTGGTTGCGACCTTTCGTTAATTGCTTGGTGGACCCCTTGAAAATTCAACTTTTTATGGGACAGATTTCAGTTACTGTCGAATTCGTTTCAACTCGGACCTGCTTCGTTAATCATCTTATGCATATGCTTAAACTTGTAAGCAAATTTGAATTTGGCTCATATGCTCAAGTTTTGGAATACCGTAAACGAGGCACCATTTTACTTCTTACTAGTAGATTTGCTCGAGGCACCATTGTACTTCTTACCATATGTATCTTTCATGGCCTTGTTAGTATTTTAGTGTGAATGAATGCCGCAGCAAATAGCCAAGGTCCTTTTTAAAGAACATATATTAACAGGTTACTGATCTACGGAATCAACGGACATATTAGGGATCGGGAGTGTTTGAATTAGGGAGCACAAAATTACACCGACGCCATATGTCAATGATAGAGGGTTAAATATATCAGTGATAGGCAGTTGTTGTGGCAGATTTACTATCACCGACTACCAACATTTTGTCATCACCACCACCAACAATTAGAGCAAGGTCAATAGTGCAGCCCACTACTAGCTCTAAATCATCTTAGCTAATGTAATAGCCAATTCATACAATAGTTGCTTACTATACTATTTATATCTGGTCTCACCTATCATACACATATTACATCTTGGAGTTCGTACTGCAGCTGGCTACAGTTCTGTAGCCCGCTGCCCTTCTCTCTCTTCCTTTATCTCTTTAAAATATGTTTATAGCTGGCTTATAGCTTGCTATTGTACCTGCTGTTATAGCTGTGTAGATTAGTTTTGGCAAATTTTGCCACAGGATATTGTGACTTTGCAGTTTTAGCCGTAGGACACCGCGCGAAGTGACTTTTGGAGGAATACACTCTCAAAATGTGGTTATTTGCTGGTGGACACCGCACCCATTAAATTAGTAATTTCCGGTTGAATAGGAGAGATAAATTGTGTGAAATTTCTAAAATGTCCTTTGGCCCACATGTCAGGTCTTTCTTCTCTCTATCCCCTCCTTCCACACTGCAATGGCTAGCGCTTCTCCGTCCTCTATGTCAACGCGAAGGAGATGGCTCGTGCTGGGCTAACCCACAAGCAGGAATCCGAAGAGGGAGGCCAGCTGATTGGAGTCGTACGCCGGCGAGGGAGGGAGCGCCACGCGCTGGGTGACGCCGTGGGGTCAGGGAGCGGAGCAGAGAAGAGCTGGGCGTGGGGGCGGGGCGGTGGCAGTCGTGTACGGCGGCGGCGGCAGTCGTGTACGGCGGCGGCGGCGGCCTTCTTCTGCTGTACCTGGTGCCGCATAGCCACGCCAGCCGTTGCTCCGCCATCGCGCCAGCCGCCGCTCCTGCACGAGTGCGCCACCGCGTCGCGCGCTGCCCTGCGATGCATCGCCGGCCGCCCGCATCGCGCCGCACAGTTGCCGCGAGCCGCGCCGTCCACTACTCCACCTTCGCGCTAGCCGCCGCTCCTGCACAAGTGCGCCTAATGCCCTGTGCCGCGGGCTGCTCGTATCGCCCAATGCCCTTCACCGGCCGCTCGCATCGCCCGCTGCCCTATGCCGAGCAGCCACGCCGGTCGTTGCTCCGCCATCGCGCCGACCGCCGCTCCTGCACGAGTGCGTCCCTGCGTCGCGCGCCGGCCGCCTGCATCACGCCGCACGGTCGCCGCAAGCCGCGCCAGCCGCTGCTCCACCTTCGCGCTGGCCGCTGCTCCTAGACGAGTGTGCCATCGCATCACCCACCGCCCTCTGTCGCGTCGCCAGTCGCCTGCATCGCGTGCCGCGTTGCGCCGCACGGTCATCGCGAGCCGCGCCATCGAGGGAGAGAGAGGAAGAAGATAGGAAGAGAAAGAGGAATAAGGGGCAATTTGGTAAGTCATGTAAAAAAGTGGAGCCATCTCGTCTACTCAGCACCGAAATCATTAATTTAATGGGTGCGGTGTCCACCATCAAATAACCACATTTTGAGAGTGTTTTCCCCAAAAAATTACTTCGCGCGATGTCCTACAGCTAAAACCACAAAGTCACGATGTCATGTGGCAAAATTTGCCATTAGTTTTTCAGGCTTTTGCTTGGCCGGCTCAACATCCAACGCTCCGATGACAACTGTGGCTGAAGGCAAGGCCCAGCCCTATAGACGCTGGCCTCCACCATGTTCCAAAGAAAGGCCCGGCCCAAAACCAACTGTGGCTGAAGGCAAGGCCCAGCCCTATAGGCGCAGGCCTCCACCATGTTCCAAAGAAAGGCCCGGCCCAATACCCAGCGAATCCCATGCAAAAGGAAAAAAGTTATACCTGACTTCCCTCGTCTTGTCGCTGAATTACAAAATCATCCCTGAACCAAAAAACGAGATATATAGCATCTCTCAACTTAGAAAACTAGGCTCTCTAGGTCTTTAGGTGATTTTGTCTTTGGTTTTTACCGACGTGATAGCTGAGTCAGTATTGGACCCCATATGAGCCATACATGTTAGTGACTACTTCCCTTCCTCTCTCTCTCCACCTCTCTTCATCTCTTCTCCAGTCCTCTCCATCTGAGGTGTGCAACGGTCGACGAGGAGAAGGGCCAGCGCGGCGAGCGCGACCGGCGACGGGCGGGGAGAACTGGAGGCGCGCGGTGCCCGACGGTGGCCCTCGCTGACAGCGACGACGCTTGTTGGTGACGACGAGCAAGGAGAAGAACGGTGGCCGGTGGAGAGGAGCTAGGAGTCAGCAGCGTCACTAAGCTTGACCGGTAATGGCGAGGAAAGCGGGAGCCCATCCCCCCAACGACGGTGGGCTCACGAAGGATGTCTGGGCAGGGGTGCCGTCAGCGAGAGCTTGATGGAGCCGGAGAAGAGGGGGCGAAGATCTAGGAGGGGAAGTAGAGAGGCCCGCTGCCGCCGCCAATGTGTAGCTCCTCTCCATCGGTCACTACTCGTAGCGGCAAGGAGGAGGAGGAGTGGCCTAAGGTGTTGGATATCGGGCGGCGACGAGCAAGAGGGAGGAGTAGTTTGGCGGCGACATCAGTGTGGTTGGCTGGTCGTTGCGTGGCCACCGCCTCCTCCCGAGCTGCTTTGCCTAGCGACCAGCCCCGGTGATCTCTTCCTGTGCCGCCTCTCCCCCGCCACCTCCGCGACCGGCTGACTACCCGTGCCGGTATCTACCTCGACGACCCTTTCCCATGCCGCCTCTCCGCCGCTCCCCGTTGCTACGACCGGCTGCCTCGTCACGCCGGCATCTGTCGCTCTGCACCGGCCTGATGTGAGAACGGGGAGAATGAGAAGAGTTTATGTCATTGACATGTAGGTCCCACGTTAAGTCAGCTACCACGTCGGCCAAAACCGGAGTCAATGCCGCCATAGGAGGGACCTCAGGTATACTTTTCCCCACGCAAAAACTACCCAGCCCATCATCACGGCCCATGCAGGCCCGACACGCTTGTCGAAGGCAGCCCACACTGCACAACTTCTCTCTCCCTCCAGCCGTCACGCGCGCCGCGCCGCGCCGTAGCGCGCGTCCACACCAGCGCGGCGCGGCGCAACGCGGTGCCCGCGCGCCGCTTGCTCCCCCCTCCTCGCGCTCCACGCGCGCCCGCGCTCGCCGCCAGCGCGCGCTGCCCCGGAGCGCGACGACAGCTGTGTGGGGGGCAGCGACAGCGCCACTGGCGTCAGCACCAGTAACCGAAGCCGCGCTCGCTGGCTACAAAACACGCGCCCCCTCCTCCCCTCACCGCGGCTGCGCACGCATTCCCCATTCCCCATTCCCCTATCTCTCGAACCCTAGCCCCTAGTCCCCTCCCGAACCCTAGCCCCCACCGCGCCGCCGCCGCCGCCCTCCCGATCGCGATGGCCGCCGAGAGCTACTGGCAGTACCAGTACGCCGCCGTCGACCCGCGCCAGCAGGCGCCGGCGCCGGTGCCTGTGCCCACGCCCGCGCTCATGTGGCAGCAGCAGCAGCAGCAGGCGGGGTATCAGCCCGCCGTGGCGCCGGTCGCGCCCCCGATGGCTGCTCCGCCACTGCCCGCCGGCCCCCCGCCGTCGTTCAAGCGCCAGCGCCCGGAGTACTTCGGTTCGTGCTCGCCCACACATTCCTCCTCTTCTTGATTGTTAATTTTGTGTTGCCTGCTAGATTAGTCGTAAGAAAGTATAGGTAGCTTTGTTGTGGGTATCCATGGGGTTTAGGGCTTTAGGCTATAGAACATATAGATGATGATAGTGGAAGCTAGTCTTTTTTTATAAGCAGATCTTGTTGTCCTGAACTTTTGGGGTTCAGGGCGAGAAAAAATCAGAGGCCTTTTATTTGAATGTATCATCATCAGTAATCTTAATAAATTGCAAATATCCCTCATGTTTGAATTACAGATCCAGATATTATCAGTTATAAGTCTGAAACTCTGAATAATAGGGAGCAGAATCACCTGGATTTTTGTGATCTTGTAGAAACCGAAATATCATCAAGAACTCGTGGAAGCCAATCTCCTCAAGGGTATAATCTGTTAGAGGACTCCTAAAAAGGGAAAACACACACACACACCAACTATAGAAAATCAGTGCAAAGCTATGAGATAAACCAACCAACCACTCAACTCAAGGAGATCTTGCTGACTAACTAGAGAAACTAATTATTATGAACAACTCACAGGAATGAGGAATTCATAACCAATCAACTCTAATGGCAATCTTTAGAACCAAAAGAAATCAAAGTTCCATCTTTTTTTTGTCAATCTTCTTTGGGGTGTTATTCAACCCTGAAGCAAAGGAGTGAGATCTAAAAAACTTAAAGAGTACGACATATGCAGTGGCTGAATGACGGGATTACATGCAGCAAATGACACACTTAATTAGGCTTTAGTCATGCTAGCTAACCCAGCGTAGTTTCGGGAATAGATAAGGGTCGAGGGGAATGAGATAGCTTCGATGCTTCGTGACCTGCGCAGACTGATATGCTTGTTGGACATCTGCTAATGAGGCTTGGGCTTCCAAACAATACGTGTGTGGTCTGGGGCCCTGACTGCCCTGACTCAGGGCCGGCCTTGTGTTTTCCCTGCCACGCTGTACTATTAACCTGTCCAAGGAAATGGTAGGAGAAGTTGCAGGCTTGTAGTTTTGAATTGTTCCAATGGTAGATGTTTGTTTGAAATGAATACATAAAAATGAAACCATTCCTCATTTCCTGATAAAGCCTCAATGTCGTAAGATGGGAACTAGTAATTTTCATATGTGAATCTACAAGATCATATTGATTCTTTGTTTTCTTTAAAGTTAGATGGTGTAGCATGGTTTATATGATATGTTAGATTGAATTAATCTCTGGTTAGGCTAATATTTCACTATCATTGGTAGGCTCTAGGCAAAAGGTTTCGGCTTCTATTATAGAGTAGTCGGTCTGACTATTTTGATGGCTAAATGGTTTGTAAATTCTGAAATCTAAAACAAGAGAAAAAAAAAGGAATTTGTTGTGTAAAAAGGTTCTAATAATCTCTACAAAGGAATTTGCTGCTTGCATGCCGTTACGTTGTTTGCCGCCAATTCTGAATGCATCTATCATCACAACAATAAAGTTTAGTCCTTTTTTAGTATCATTTTATTGGGAAAATGATTGCTTGCTATGCACAGCTACCTGAAACTATGTATCAGGATTGCCTACCTGCACATAGATTTGGCGGCTTTTTAGTTGTTAGATAATGTTGTAATTACCGCACATCATTAATTCTTCACATGTTTGCTTCTATTGCAACCCCATTTTTGTCATAGCTTGCTTCTTAAATGGACAGGGAAAAAATATTGACGAGACTGTTCAGTAGTTTCTTCCTAATGTATTTTCTCCAAGTGAGATGTTCATTTGTTTCAGTCAAAAAAAAAAGATGTGCATTTGTATATTTTAACACTTTACACTTTGTTTGCAGACATGCCTTCTGGACAGGGAAACAGCCTCTTCCACGAAGCAATGAGCCCCCATTATGTCCATCGCTTGAACAATCAGGTATTATATCAATTATAAGCTTGTTAATTTGAGGATAGCAACTTTCTTACTAACATAGTGCTGGTTGCAGATGTCCTATGCTGCTGGTGCTAACCAAAGTGCTATTCCACTTGGTGGGATGGCCACATATTCAGCAGGCATGGACAGTGGAAACCATGGCGCTACAATAACTGAATCAAGAACTCTCTATGTGGAAGGACTACCTTCGAACTGCACAAAGAGAGAGGTTGCACGTATCCTTTTCTATGCTTGTAAACTAAAATCACATTTTCCTAGCTATAATTAGTGTAGGTATCTTTTGCGATGTAATTCATATTACACCTCCTAGGTGCTTTTGCCCTTAACTCTTTCTTCTGCAGATATCTTTCGCCCCTTTTCTGGTTTCCGTGAGGTGAGATTGGTCAACAAGGAGATTAGGCATGTAAGTTAAATGCTACCTGTGAACCAAATTTTCCCTGTTATTTTTTGCAAAGCCAAGCATGCTTACATGTCAAATCCCCTCTCTGTTTTGCAGGCTGGAAGCTGTAACCTCTTGTGTTTTGTTGATTTTTCATCTCCTCCTGAAGCTCGTGCTGCTCTGGAGACTCTGCAAGGTAATTATAACATCATATTTTCTGCATCCATATGCATTGTAGTTATGTTGCCAATTTCGTTAGATAGTGCTTGCGCGCAGTTTCATTCTTTTATGTTTGTGTGCCTTTAGTCTTATTAAAAATCTGTTTATTTTTCTTAATATTTTTCCCTTTGTCCCACATCCAGTAGGTTTTAGTGTGATGACTGAACTATGTAGAGTGTAGTCCATAGATAACTAAACTAAGATTATTATTATTTTTTTGCTGAAAACTAAGATTGTTATTTCGAAATATCATAATTTTTCCTTGTTCCACTTTGAAACCAGCTTACTGTCATTCTATGTGTGCTATATCATATGTAATAATATTTGTGTGCACATCAACTTTAGTGCTTTCCATCATAAAACTAGACGTTTCATTGGTAGGGAGAGAATAAACTTTGAGCTTCTAATACTTGTTCAGGTTATAAGCTTGAATTTGGCTCTGAAACTATGACGTTTTGCTTTGCAGGCTATAAGTTTGATGAACATGACCATGAGTCTTCCAACCTGCGCATACAATTCTCTCTCACTCCTCGCAGGAGGCCAATTGGTGGGCCTCGTGTTAGAAACTAAGTTTCTTGGGTGGAGTTGAATTAATAATGCAGAGCAAAATTTGTGGAGAATCTCTAGGGAGACTTGTATACAATGCTAGACCAAACTTGACTCTGATGCACCGTTAGTGTTGTATGTTGTTGCTTTGCAAAGATTCTGCCGTGTAGGTTGGTATGGATGTGTTGATAACTATTGGTTGGATGGAAACAAAGTAGATGGGGCTGAAAAATTGTTTAATCATGTGCTGTGTGATCTGAATTACATCTATTCTTCTGTGGATGATTGCAATGAGTACATACATGGTGCATCGGCACATGTATAGTAGTGAGTTATGAATGTGTTATCTGGCTTAGATTGTTTGCAGGTTGATTTCATGGTGCAAGACTGCTCCTGTACCATTTCTTACAAAAAGGATTTCGGTGAGTTTCATTGGTTTTTCATAGTAGTTTTTCTTGCCTGAAATAGTCTTACAGTGATTCGTAAGGACAAGAGTATCTCACCACCTATATCCTTGGTATTTGACAAAATCAAATTGGAATGGGTCCTTCAAATAAGCTGATATCTTGTTCAGAGGCTCTATGTGTTCTTTTGCAGATGGCAATGTTGGCTGAAAAATGTTGTGTTGTGCCTGGAAGATGCTATGTCACTGAATCCCCAGCAACAACAACAGGGCACACCTATAGACTTGTAGCATTACTAGAAACAACAATATGCATGTGTTTTCTGGAGATGGATAAGCTACTGTATGTATGGGAATTTCAGCATGTACTTAGCAGTTGTTCAATACTGGTTTCTGGGCCTCAGTTTTTTTTTCTCTGTAGGCACAGATTGAGATGCATTTTTGTTGCATCTGCAGGACATGTAAGCCAATTGCTTGTGCTCCCTGATACTGAAGTTGTAACATGTAACTTTTGACTTACCATGTAGTAGTACTGTAAGTATGGAGTCATGGATGATTGTCCTTGGATTACTTTGAAATAAAACCTGTTGGTGACATTTTTTATGCATTCATCTGGTACAAGAGAATTGATGTGTACCGTCAACGGTAAGCATAGCTTCTCTTCATGTGAAGAAAGCTGCATTGCATAACTGTCCTGCAGGTTGTGATTGAGTGAAGAAATGCTCTGCAAGGACATTAGGGGTCTGTTTGGGGAAGGTTCTGACAGCTGCAGCTTCTTCCAAAATTAGAAATTATTGCAAACAATCCAGTTTTTCATTCAGATTCTGAGAAGTTGTAACTGTAGAATCCAAAAAATAAACTAGAAGCTAGAAATTGGAAAACTCAGTTTTTTTATATTATCAAAAGCTGACTACCAATTAGTTGCTTGTTTGTTTCTCGGAATTTTAAGTTCCTCTAAACAAGCCCTAATCATGCAACTGCTTGAACGTACAAAGCGTGTTGGTTAAAGATAGATCATATCTTGTCTATTCTAGCTTAATTAACTTGGTAAGTACATGTCCTTATTGGTATCAGTAGTTCATAATCCAGAACATGTATTTCTATCAAAAAATAAAGTTGATGCTCAAATAATGTCAGCATGATAGTTTTGCTACAGTGTCGAGCTTAGTCGGCATTAATTTGATTGGACATTAAACATACACGTACTTTGTATATGATAAATTGATGCAAACCTTGCTGGTCCTAGCACTATCTCTTGTATAGCGACATCATCCAACTAGTCCTGACACCTGCTTGTACATCAAGGACTTTGATCATTTGCTGAGTTTTCACCTTAATTAAGCGTGACACTGAAATTTCCGATCAATTTCTCATCTCTGCACACTAGCCATTACCCTCAAAATTTCCAGAAAAGAATAGGGGAAAAATCAACCTGGCTGCTACTAATATTCAGCAAATTAAAGAAATTATTCAGACTTTTCACCCAGTCGCAGGCACCTGACACATTCTACTTGACCAGAAATTTAGAAACCTGCCAAGAAATCAACAGAATTTCCACCGGGATCACGTACCCAACATCTCGGTTGGTCCCGTCTCTTCCTTTTGCTTGCAAATTCAGGAAGAGAATACCGTATGACACGCATGACTACTGCTGCAATTGCGTAACATACTGGCCGACAGCGACGGCACACTTGGAAGGCCTTGCATGAGACCGGATCAGACTTCAGAGATTCAGAGGAGAAGAAACCTTGGCCCTGTCGCAATTCCAACCGTGATTTGTTGATCGGTTTATCCAGGAAACTGCCGATTTGTTTGGACCTGGATTTTTCTTGGTGTTTTCTGTTCTTGGACGGCATACGTACAGTGTGAAGGTCTGCATGGACCACTGCTGATTGACAAAGCAAAGATCTGAATTGGTCACTGCTAAACACTCAAGAAGGTGTGGTATTCTTCACTGGTTCATTCTGGTCATCAACACAGTTAATGGTTCCTTTAAAAAAAATGAGATTTGAAAGGAGAGACATCCTTTCAAATATTTTTTAAATATTTTTTAAGAAAAAATTATGAGTATGTCAAGGATTAAATACGGGACTTGTACTATCAAGTGCATCTCTTAAGGGCTCCTTTTAGAACGTATGATTCTGAAAATAAAAAAAAAATCATAGGAATATAATGTCATGCCATATTGAATACCACAAGAAATAAATTCATAGGATTTTGCAAAAAAAAAATGTTTGGTAGCACCGTAGAAAAGGTAAAGGGACTTTGAGTCACAAGGATGAGAAAACATGAGGTCTAGTCTCATGTTAATTTTCCTCTAAAATTCTTACAAAATGGGTAATTCCATAAGAATTTTAAAGGATTTTGGGGAAGCTATTCCGTCCAAAGGATCATGTAGGGAAATTTTTCTAATGGATTTGAATCTTCCAAAATTTCTCTATTTTTCTTTTGTTCCAAAAGAGCCTGAGTATTTTTTTGAGACAGATGTATGATACTTTTTTGTGGATTACATGTAAAAAATGTCACTTCCATAACCACAGAGAGATTTTAGCGTGGCACAGTAGCATTGTGGATTACGTTATTATATGGGAAATATATATTTTTTTATCTACAAATTATATTTTGATCATTACTTCCTCCGTTTCACAATGTAAGTCATTATAGCATTTATTGATGTTAATGAATCGAGATAGATAGGAGGGAGTAATAAGTATTGCACTTATAATCCGTTGGAAGTGAAGCAATGAGACTGCTAATAATATCTGGTTTCTTGATACGTCATCATGTTGGGTCTTTCAGTTCTTGAGAGCTCCTGCAACTTGCAATCACATTTCAGACTTTCGATCGAATCGAATAGCATAAAATGTGATGTGAAGTGGCACGGCTAAGGGAACTACTTCCTCCGTTTCCTCCGTTTTAGGTTATAAGACTTTCTAACATTGTCCACATTTATATAGATGTTTACTCCCTCTGTCCTAAAAAAAAAAGCAAACCCTAGTTTTCCGTGTCCAACTTTGACTGTCCGTCTTATATGAAATTTTTTTATAATTCGTATTTTTATTGTTGTTAGATGATAAAACATGATTAATATTTTATGCGTTACTTGTCTTTTTAATTTTTTTTATAATTTTTTCAAATAAGACGGACGGTCAAACGTTGGGCACGGAAACCAGGGTTTGTCTTTTTTTTAGGACGGAGGGAGTATGTGTCTAGATCCATTAACATCCATATGAATATAGGCAATGCTAGAAAGTCTTACTCCCTCCGTTTTAAAATATTTGACACCATTGACTTTTTAGTACGTGTTTGACCATTCATTTTATTCAAAAAATTTAAGTAATTATTTATTCTTTTCATATCATTTGATTCATTGTTAAATATACTTTCATGTACACATATAGTTTTACATAATTTGTTTTAATAAGATGAACAGTCAAACATGTGCTAAATAGTCAATGGTGTTAAATATTTTGAAACGGATGGAATATATAGTATGAAACGGAGGTAGTAGTAATAAGCCAAGTTGGTCAACCACTGCTATATAATTCAGCTATAGTCTCGAACACTTGTTTAATCATAATAACAAAAGGTCTTCATGTTGCCCTGTTCCTTCACTACTTTTTCTTTCCTTTTCTTTTTCTAAAAAGCAAACAGTCTCCTGGCACTGTTTCAGTTTAATAACATACGTACTCCGGGTAATCTAAACAGAAAGAAAAGATAGTCTAGTACTACTCTACTAATGGTAAATTAATGGAGATTAACCACAGTGCATGGTAAAGAATTTCTGGCTTTTTATTATTAACACATGTATGAGATCTAAAGAAAAAAAGTATGATATCTATCTATTGTACCCTTCTTAAACCGGAAGCAACATATAAACATTTTTGTAATATGTCCAGTTGTCTGCACAAAAGTTAAAAGCAAAAGGCAACAAAACAAGGACTCATCTTGATTTTTTTTTGTTTCTTTTAAACAAAAAAGAAGGCCTGGGTATTAGCCAAGCTAGGTGGCCTTGGAATGGACAGCAAAAGGCAGCGATGATAGCTGCAGCCTCCCTTTGTGCAGCACACACTGCACTGCAGCATTGCAGCAATCCTCCTCTCCAAAAGCAGGACACACCATCACTAGGGTAGTAGACCACCAGCACACCGAGCCTCCCTCAAAAGCAAGCACTGCATGCTTTCAACATAAGCCTAGCCTCTAGCCATCCATCTAGCTCGATCACCACAGTTCTTAGCCGAAGAGAAAGAAAGTTAATTAGAGAGTTCATATATAGCTGAAGTAATCAAGAACCAAGAAGAGGAGAGGAAGGTGATCGAGGAGGAAGGAAAGGATGGTAGCGGAGGAGGAGGTGGTGGTGGTGTGGGAGGGGGAGAAGGAGGGGGAGATCGACTACGTGTTCAAGGTGGTGGTGGTGGGGGACTCGGCGGTGGGGAAGACGCAGCTGCTGGGGAGGTTCACCAAGGACGAGTTCTTCCTCGACTCCAAGTCCACCATCGGCGTCGAGTTCCAGACCCGCACCCTCTCCCTCCACCGCAAGCGCGTCAAGGCCCAGATCTGGGACACCGCCGGCCAAGAACGGTAACCATCCATGCACACACCGATCATCTTCTTTCCTCGCAAACGCATCAGTTCATACGCAGTTATCTAGACTCATGACTTAGAAATACTGGAAAGATCATTTTTACTTGTGATAATACTGATAGTATATATAATAGAGCAACGCAATGATAGTCGCTGCGAAATCGTGATCGTTGCTGCGTTTTTGTTAGCGTTTACGTGTTCAAGCTATCCCAACTGATCTGGCTGTTCTTGCATTTGATTAGTAATTTGGTACTCCATATACTTACTCCATATACTTACATAGCGTCAATGACTCATGTTCTGTTGCTTGCTGCGAGGGAGATGGTGTCACATGCATGTCAGCCAAGACACCAGCTTCATTTTGCTTTCATTGTGATTAATTAAGCCGGGAGCTAATTGGATCGGTACAAGGACTCGTGGAAGATTGGATTTGTATTGGTTGGGAAGATAAGGATGCATGTATAGTGGCTGTCAGTTTTCATGAAGCCAGCTGAAATTAAAGCTATGAAATGCGATGCTACTACTAGTAGCTTCTGCTAAAGACAACGCGTCAGAACAGAGCACGCCGACCACCGAAAGTGATCCCTGCAAGAACCACTAATGCCTCCTTTTTGCAGGAGAAGATTTGATAGAAACTGTCATGTAGCAAATCAGTCATTACCTGCCTAATCTAACCTGCCCTTGGATTAGGCAGTTGTCGCCTAATTAAGATTTTGATCTGTTTTCAATGCAACAAAGCGGGAATTCTGTGTGCAATTCGTGTGTTCCCGAGGGAGACTGATGTGTTCGTGGCGGAAATATTTGAATTTTTGGAGGAAATTTGAGCGAAGTTTGGTCTTTTTGGTTTCGCAGGTACAGGGCGGTGACGAGCGCGTACTACCGCGGCGCGCTGGGCGCCATGGTGGTGTACGACATCACGCGGCGGCGGACGTTCGAGAACGTGGCGCGGTGGGTGGAGGAGCTCCGGGCGCACGCCGATGGCTCCACCGTGGTGGCGCTGATCGGGAACAAGGCCGACATGCCGGCGGGCCGGCGCGAGGTCGCCGCCGACGAGGCCGCGCGGTTCGCGGAGGAGCAGGGGCTCTTCTTCTCCGAGGCGTCCGCGCTGTCGGGCGACAACGTGGACCGCGCCTTCCTCACGCTGCTCGAGGAGATCTTCGCCGTCGTGTCGCGCAGGGCGCTGGAGCTCGACGAGGCACGGCGGATGCGCGACGGCGGCGCCGGCGGCGGCGAGGTGCTGTCGCTGAAGGGGACCACGCTGGACGTCGGCTCCATCATGGAGACCAGCGCCATGAAGAAGAGCTCGCAGTGCTCCTGCTCGTGAGCGACACACAGAGACTGGATGTTCGCTCGTGTAATGTTTTTGTTTCGACATATCGATTATTACACATTCACATCATTTCACCTCGCGTTCTTGTCAATTATAGAGAAGGATTAGGCATGTAAAACATTGTAAATTTGGTGATTGACAAGAAATGGTTTAGATTCTTCATCTGTGACTGTGATTATCTACGCGTGCGTGATGCTATGATTCGTCGCTTAGCTAACAGAGCAAGCTAGCTCGGTTTTTCTAATGCCACATAAGCGCAACGTGGACTTTTTCCTATTTCATATACAAACCATTCAGGCGCACCTGTGAGTGGGCCGCGTGGCCTCGTGATGCCATATTTGGGCCGTTTCTTCACTGTATGGGCTAGAAAGCTAGGCCCAACACCAGAATTCGGCCCAGAGAAAGTTGGAGATGACCAGGTTGTGCAGGTCAAAGGGTTCGGAGTTACTAATCAACTCCAAACGCTGGCGCCGGAGTTTTCATTTCTGACCCCGTTGGCCTTTTTAAAGATCGAACTGGTGATTGAGTGTCTCCGACGAGCATAGCACCGAGCACGTCGTGGGTGACTGATCGAGACGTAAAAACTCCATTAATTTGTGTGGAGATGACAGTGTTGTGGAGGTCAAGGAGGTTCGGAGTTTTAATCCCCGACCCACCGGAGCCGGAGTTTTCGTTGCCCAACCCGTTCTTACCGGTCAGTCCAGCAACTAGGAGCAGCTGTCTGCCATGGCACGGCAGCCAGCAATGCTTTGCCGGTGTTTTACCGTGAAGCCATGAACATGAGCTAGTCCATGGTCGCATTTCCAATCATCGACTTACTGAACTGAACACGAATTTTCAAACACTAAACGGTGCGCTTTTTACGAAAACTTTATATACGAAAGTTGCTTTAAAAATTCATATTTTAAAAAAATAGATAATACTTAATTAATTATGTGCTAATAGATCATTTCGTTTTCCGTACGAAAGGAATTAATTCCCATCCTCATGAAACAAACACATTATTTCAACAGAAGTTCAGCGACGTTATTCGTATTCCTATTCTTGACCGAGGCAATTCTGCTGCATCAACTGAATAAGGGCATGTTTAGTACCTAAACAAAATTTTTCACGCTATCACATCGAATGTTTAGACACATGCATGGAGTATTAAATGTAGAAAGAAAATCAATTATATAGTTCGCCAGGAAATTGCGAGACGAATTTTTTAAGCCTAATTACGCCATGATTTGATAATGTGATGCTACAGTAAACATTTGCTAATGATGGATTAATTAGGCTTAATAAATTTGTCTCACGGTTTTCTGGCAGAATTTGTAATTTATTTTGTTATTAGACTGTGTTTAATATTTCAAATGTGTGTCCGTATATCCAGTGTGACACGCCAGGAATTATCGTTCACGAAATAAACCGGCCCTAAGTGCGGCTGTACATAGCAGCAGCTGCAGCGATCGTGTTGTCTTTTGTGTAGTGGGTACTGTTGCTGCAGCTCAAGCAGCCATATGAGCCGAACAAATGGACGCGCAGAAGCTTTTGGACTCCTTTTGATCCATCCACTCCAGTTGGCCTAATGGCAACTGGTACATAACTACCTACCTATGTATGATCCACAAATCCTGAAAACAACATGGCCACTTGCTCATCGGTAGCTGTTACATTTGCCTACTTGGATGGATACCACTACCGCTGCTGCTGCAATTAGCAACATCTTCCATGAAGATCAATTCCACGCAGTCCTTGCCGCACGCTGCTCCGACAGATGAACTGGGTTCTGCACTGGTGCAGCAAAAACAGAAACGTGATGAGCAGTTGAGCACCATGATCCTGTCTGCAGAAACCACACCCATGAACAGAATTGAACCTCATCTCAGACTCAAAAGATCTTCGTGCTAGCTGTATCAAAATTTGGGAGGTACAACGAACAACTCTTGATCCATGTACATGTGATGCGACATACATACATATACAGCCGAAACAACTTACAACTAGCTAGAGGCAAAAGGGAGCTAAAATGTTGGGATCTCATCAGGGAAGTCAACCGTATCAGAGGCATTCAGGCTCATGTGAGAAGCAAGCAGCAAGCTGGAGAGATTGACCGCATCTGCAGTGTCAACTACTTAACTAACATTTATTCCAGGCTAGCTAGTGAGATGCTGATATGCTGGTCTTTCTGTAGATGTTGTTGCATCAATCATGTGTGCGCAGCATAGCTTTGGTCGGTCAGAAAATTGCGTCATCCTTTTCGTCAGCGCTTTCACCACTTGCATGAGCGATCGATGTCCAGGTTCAGTTATCTACAACGCACTGGTCAACCTGGAACCACGCAAAATCCAAATCAGTTTATTGCAGTATAAAAGAACTGAATTAACAACGAAAACTCTAAATCAGTTTATCAGTGGAAAAGAACTGAACAATGCCAAACCCTGAATCAATTGTATATTCATCCCTAGTAAAGAAATGGACTGAAAGTCTGAAACTCTTGGCAGTGAGAAAGAACTCAAGAAGTCAAAGTTTCAGTCTGATCAGTTAGTGGTTAGTGAACTTAGTGCGATTACTCGGTTGTTCTTAATTGGTTCTCTATATGGATTAGTTTGATCATATTGCAGATTTTTTTTTCCAGACAAAGGAAACTATGCTACTGCATGCACTATTCTGTATTTACCAATCTGATCGAATTGGAGTTAATCCTCCTCACCTGCAATTGTTTCTGTCACGCGTTTGAGCTCAAGCCTCTCGCCTCACAAGCTCGCATCACTCTCATCCTCTTACACGAAGACACGAACATCCTGCAATTCAAGATGCATCAGGTTGAGATTTCCACGTTTACCTTTAGTTTTTGCATTCGCATAATTTTGAAACGATGATGAACAGTGCAATGACGCAGTTTCAGTAATGTATAAAAAAAGCGATGCGGTTTCAGCGGTGCTTACTCCCAGGGCACGTCGCCGACGAGCATCCAGTCGCCGTCGCCGTCCTCGTACACGACGGCGTGCTCCCACTCGCCGTACCCGTCCATCAGTCCTGCTCGATCACCGTACACAAAACATTATTAACCGCCATTACTGATCAATGTTTGGCAGATTACTCTTGCATATACAGCGAGGTGAAACTAGCAGCTCACCAATGGTGGAGCAGTAGAACATGTCGTTGAGCGCCTCGACGAGCTCGAGGTAGTCGCCGTACGCCGCGACGTCCACCTTCCTCAGGTACGGCGTCCCGTCCATGCTCACCTTCACGAAGTACGCTGCCTGAATCCTAAACCGAACAACGAAACCCATCCATCAGAGGAGACGCGACATTGATCGATCATCACAAAACCATTAGCCGTGTAAGAACACTAGAAATTACATCGAGGACGACGGCGGCGGATGGCCGTTCTTCCTGCCGCGCCTGGCCCTGCGAGCGCTGGCTCCGGGAGGCCCCAGCGTCAGCTCGGTGAGCTCCACGCCGTCGTCGCCGTAGCTCGCCATGACCCAACACCGTGTCGCCGCCGCTGACCTCGACGAAGAAGACGCTGATGGTGGCGAGCTGTGGGCTGCACAGAGCGAGCTATATATATATACCGTTGGTGCAAGCGCGGAGGCGGCAGCGGAGTGGGATCCTCTGCGGGCGAGCGGGGGTGTCAGCGTGTCAGGCGGCGAGGGCGAGGCGGGAGCAGAGGATCCGGAGGTGGTGGGGGGGGGGGGGGTGCAGCGGCTGGGACAGGCGGCGCATCGGCGGTTGGGCCGGTTGGGTTGGCACCGGAGGCTGCCGGCGAGGGGGATGGCACCGTGTCGCCGTGGGACCCGACCGGCGGGGCGCCAGGTGGACGCCCTGGTCTCCTGCGTCGTGGCTGCCTTGCGCGGGGAATCAGGTGTGACCGTCTTATAATCTGTGGCCGCCACTACTGTTCAATGTGCATTCTGCAAGTCAATAGTACTCCTAGACAAGTGAATCTTGTTCTGGTGGACGTAGCAAACTTGAATTGCAAATCTAAGCGAATAGAACAATATGGGATACTTGCAAGTACGACTAGTATAATACATCATCTGTTCTTAAAAAAAAATACTAACTTCTAGTGATAAATCTGGACAAATATATCTTTAGAAGTTGTTTTTCTACGTGACAGAGAGTACTCCATAGTTCTATTTTAAATTATAAGGCATTTTGATTTTAATTAAGGTTGCAGAGAGATATACTAGCCTCCACTTCTTGAGTTCGTTTGTGGTGGTTATCAACCTACATTTACTCGTTTTCCGTACGCACACTTCCTAAACTACTAAACGGTATGTTTTCTCAAAAATGTTCCATAGGGAAGTTGCTTTAAGAAATCATATAAATCCATTTTTTAGTTTTTTTAGCTAATACTCCCTCCGTTTCGAAATATTTGACACCGTTGACTTTTTAGCACATGTTTGACCGTTCGTCTTATTCAAAAACTTTTGTGAAATATGTAAAATTATATGCCTACATAAAAATATATTTAACAATGAATTAAATGATAGGAAAAGAATTAATAATTACTTAAATTTTTTGAATAAGACGAACGGTCAAACATATGCTAAAAAGTCAACGGCGTCAAATATTTCGAAACGGAGGGAGTACTTAATTAATAATACGTTAATCTATCGCTCCGTTTTCTATGCTTGGAGATTAGTTCCCAACCCACACCAAAGAATGCAGTCAATATCTACAGCAACAAATTAGTTTTATTGAATCTATAATTGAATATGTGTTAATAGTATATTTGTCTTTTGTTGAATTTGTTATTACTTTTTTCTATTGATTTAAATCAGTTTTAGTTTGACTAAAATGTAAAATGAATTATAATTTAAAACAACGGAGGAAGTAATTGGTAGGGTGCATGATTTAGGGGTTGTTAAGATCATCCTAGAAGGACACCATTCGTACAACTCATTATGGAATTTGTGACAGCGTTATGGAAATATTCCAAGTTCGCACGAAAGCTTACACTAAACTGAATTTTATTTTTTTTTAAAAAAAAATAGCCGCCGTGCCATTGCCACCCCACCCAGGCAGCCAGGCAGGCTGTTACTCCGTACCAATGGAGAGCGAACGGGCACAGTAGATCCGGATTCTGGCGAGGGGGGTAGGGGACAGGGTTCCCGCAAGTGGCCACGTGCTTGTTCCGCTCGCTCGCCGACTTCGCCGTGATGCTCCGCTGCGCCCTCCTGCCCACCAGGTGCAACGCACGCAGCAGCAGCAGCAGCAAACATATGAGACGACCAAGCCCAGTACTCTGCCAGTGGTGTACCGTGTACGTGCCGTGGCGTCCCCTCACCCACCCCTGCCAGTCTCGTCACACATCGCACGCTCCGGTGCGGTGCGCCCCGTCGCCCGCCCGGCCCGCGGCCTCGCCATCGCCGGCAAAAAGCCGCGCACCGGGGAGGCAAGCACGAGCATCGTGCCCCGCGCGCGCCCACACGCCCATTCTCGGTTACAAAAACCCAGTACTCCAGCATTTAGAGTAAGTACAATAACAGCTGTAAGCTAACAATAACCTAGTATCGAGAAGAGAAGGAAAGAGACAGAAGAAACTATAGCCTCGCGTATCAAGAAAGGAGGAAAAAGTCAGAAGAAAACGGGTTACATTCAGTTGATTTTAATACATTGTATATATAAAAGGTGAAACCAAATATTAATGGTGTAATATATTTTTATAGATAACTATTATATAAATAGATTATTATATTACCTATAAATAATTTGGAGCTAACATTTAACTCTGCTATTAAACTTGCTCTTATACGCACGAGCGCAGGCAGCGTAAGTACGTACGTGGCGGTGCCGTGCGGAGACGGGGATATCTCGTGGGATTTCTTTTGCCTCCCGCCGTGGCGCGCCCCGGGGGGGGGGGGGGGGGGGGGGGAGGAGGCAGCCGCCCTGCGTTTCGCCAGCGTGTGCCGCCGGCTGGGCGAGCAGCGGCGTGCGTGTGGCGGCCGTGGCCAATTATTTTTTAGTATTACTGGAGTATTGCGTTCAGGTCGGCTTTCGGTTTGGTTGGGTTCCAGAGGACAGTTGCGCTGCTGTGTTGGCAGAGGATGTACTAATCCATCTCGGATTTTGATGAGTGTGTGACATGGGAGTATGGGACTACTCGAGCTCTACAAGACATCCAAGAGCTTTTTGATGCAACCACGTTTGACTAGCCCTTTGTTTTTTTCTGCCCCCTTTGGGCAAAAAGGTTTGTTGGTGCTTGACCGGCTTCACGCCCTCAAAGGCATGAGACGTGTCAGTTCGTGTCCTATTGCAGAGTGCATACTGCATGCTCCCTCCGTCCAAAAAATATAAACTTTAGTTTTCGTGTATAACATTTGACCGTCCGTCTTATTTGAAAAAATTATGAAAAAAATTAAAAAGACAAGTCACGCATAAAATATTAATCATGTTTTATCATCTAACAACAATAAAAATACGAATTATAAAAAATTTCATATAAGACGGATAATCAAAATTGAACACGGAAACCCAGGGTTTGTCCTTTTTTTTTTTTGGAACGGAGGGAGTACTACTCAACTACTTGTACGAGCAAAGTTTTTAAGAATAGATGAAGCTGCTTACTTCCTTTTAAGAATAGAGCAAGAGTGGGATCTTATTGGACAAAGAACATATCTAGATTATTTATAGTCCTAGCAAATATCCAGATTTTAGTTTTACATATTTTTGAACATCCAGATTTTAGATTTTTATATTTTAAAATAGAGGTAGTAGTAATTAAGAAAATAGAGCTTCGCGTGTTGTAATCTTGCAAGAGAGCAAAATGGGAAGTAAATGCTTAACACAGTCCAAGCAAGCAACATTTGGATATACACCGAAAAAAAATGATGGGTCTATTAATCTTTTGAACAGTTTCTAATAGCGCACAGCAGCAATCCACAAAAGCACAAGTGACAGCCCACTGTGCTTCCCGTATGGCCCATGTGACACCAGTCTTACAACCACAACACGAGTACACGACGATAAATAGCGTCCACGGCATATGGCATGCCGAGTTGACATGAACTCGTTCAACTTCAGCTCTACTAGAATCATACTACTAGCGACACAAGAGGACCATGTAATAACACATATTCTGCCTGGCTGAAGACCAAAGCTAATCCAACCTCCCGGAGAGCTACTGCTATATAGCAGCAACCGAAGAAATGTACATCCTGGTGTTACGGTATTTATTTGTTGGCTTCTCGTTCGAAATTACATGTTGGCACCACTCCTGGAGAATCATGATTGTTGACGCTAACATCCACGCCCTGAGTCTGGTTTGTCATCAGTAAGGGAAGAGCATAGACCAGAGAGGAAAATGTGAGTGATCGGTAAAGGTAATAATAGATGAGCCCATTGCATTAACATGGAGAATGTGATGTACCTGTGAGTTTGAACCTTGTCCATGAGTACGGACGGGTCTCATATTAAGATCAATCATTTTGGAATCGATGTTACCCTGGTCATCGCAGTTGCCATCTGAGGCTGGATCATCAGACACATTATGATGGTTTGCCATTTGCTCCTTTGTTACTGAGTGAGGGGCCTTCTTTTGATCCGTCCGGTTTTCAGGATCTTTCTGTTGCATAGCAACATCATCCATATGACCTGGTTTATCTCCTGGAAACTAATCAAAATTTCAAACTTCAAGCACTAGAAAATAAGGCGTGAGATTACAATACGAAGTTGGTTTCTAAACAATAACCTACTTCAACCCGTTGCCTTAGGAGCAGGTATCTTCCATGGGTTCGTTTCCCACCAACATGAACAGTCATATCACAACTAAGGCAAAGTGATGTACCATCTATCTCGCAATAGAAGAAGGCTGCATGGACAGCAGGACATAATCACAACAAGCTTTAACAGGCAAAATATGATAAGAAACTATTCATAAATAAGAAAGAATACCGGGGGCATTTTCACATATATCACAGCGTTGAACTTTATTAGGGTCTGCAAGCCCAACTCTCACGTGCCGCCTAGCAAGCTTGTTACACATATGCACCTGCATCACAACATTGGAAGAAATATCAGAAAATGCAGCATGAATATTTAATGGGTTATTGAGACCAAAGCTGTAATATTTGTTTTTCTTCATGCTAATGATACCACATGAAGGATATTGCACAGCTACTAAAATAACTTGTATAGACTGATTGTTGGTCAAAATCTACAAAGTTTGGCCTCTTCAAACCAAAATACATCTTATAACAATCAATGGAGCGAGTAATTTTGTTGATCGAAGTTCTCATAGAGCTGAATATGGATATGCATCTCTAACATACAGAGTACAACAACCAATCTGGCAAACTTTCAGTAAACAAATCCATGCAAAAATGTCAGCTTTATTAACAGTATCTGATTTCTTATGTTGCCTGCACATAATCAGCATACATCGTGTTCTTCAGCAGATCCATTACTGACAAACCTTATTAACTCATTAAACAGGTGCTCAACTGACATAAAGACATAAGTAAGGACTAAGAACCAGAAAAGATGACCTTTCATAGTTGGAAGAGAACTTAACTGCTCAAAACATAGTCGTAAAACAGAATAGACGTACAATGTTTTAATGGGTAAATCAATATAATATAAGAATGTGAGAGCACAATGGGATATTTGACCAAAAGATCTGCCCACGAAGGATGTTTCATAATGTTTGGCCTCATTAGGGATGGGGCCACCCACATACAACAATTCCATTTCCGGTTGGAACTTTCATCTACAACCTGGTTGCACTTTTGCACGTACTGATGATTTTTAATCATGTCATCAGTTCCAAATATTATAAAAAACCAAAGAAACCAGTGTCATAGCATTGGTTACGGAGCGCAAAACTAGTTGAGCAGCTAAAGAATGAGTAAAGGATGCTCTCATGTATGTTTTTATTAGCAATTGAAGGTAGCGACTGGAATCATGTACAGTAACATAGTATAAGACATACTACTCTGTCCCATAAAAAAGCAAACCCTAGCTACGAATCTGGACACGAATGTGTTCAGGATTGGACTTTTTTTGGGACGGAGGGGGTATTCATTAACTCTAGAAAATCTGCAATTCAGACTCTGCATTCTGCAATTAAAGTGAGGCAGAAGCATAATCTTGGCTACAAATAACAGTAAACATATGGACTGAAAAATCGTGTAAACACAAGTGCAAAATCTATACCTAACTATTTCTTTACTATTGAAGAATTTCAACAAGGGAAATTCAATCATTACTTCTACAGAACAATGATCGACTTAAGTATTACACATAGCCAATAAGGTTAACAGAAATTCCAACCAAAATGGCAAAATCACGACAAGCTCATCTCGCACTGTCCCACATATGGCCATGAATGATGATGCCTGGAGGTGTCTAACGACCACCAAGCTAGATATAGAACTCAGGGTAGTGTGATCTTCTAAGAAATCCCGTTCCGAAGTAACCCAATTGCTGGATTCAAGTACTTATTTGAACTTATTATGTATGTTTTATGCTGTAAAAGTGCCTCCTTCGATAACAACATCATAGAATTATGCTTTGTTTTCCAGTTCTAAAGTTGGCCAGCTTTAATTTCAAGTGGAATTCTCTAGGCAATAGGCCTCATTTTGAAGTCAGACAAGAAATAAGTGGATACCCCATAAGGCAATTTCTCGGTTACTACCCAAACAAGCACTACAGTTAGTCACTATCAATGCACGCTGGCATCCTATTATACCATAACTTCGTTTGGTCATAAGTCCACAATACTCAACGAATGAAAAAAAAAAGGCCTTAATGAATGAATTGCTCCAGGCCAGTGAGCAGTACGCAGTTGATTCGCAGTCAAAATTAAATGGCTTTCTGTACCCAAAAAAGAAACACGCAGATCCACACGCTAATTCGAGCGTAGTAAACCATCTCGTGAGATCTTAATTGCACAATCAAACAACCCGATCGCCCAGCGTGAAACAAGCGACCGCAATTGAAGCATCGCATAACCCGATCTACGATTCGGCAAGCGGACTCCGACGCGTGCGCGTTGTAGAGCAGAGGACGAAGGCAGGGTTAGAGAGAGGGGGCACCTTCTCGTCGCAGGACCGGCAGAGCGCGGCCTCGTCGGCCACGCAGAAGAGCACCGCCGGCGCGCTCTCGCACACGTCGCAGATCGTCCGCATCCCGCCCGCGCCGAGCCGCGCCCGCTGTCATCGCCCCCCCTCCCCCATCTCCCCGCCCCCCCACTCCCTCCTCCTCCTCCTCCGGCGGATCGGTCCTCCCCGCCTGGCTCTTCGCCGTCGTAGTCGTACACACAGCGGCGGCGGCGGCGGCGGCGGCGGCGGCGGCGGCGACGAGGAGGAGCAGAGCGGGAGTCGCGGGGCGAGAGGAGGAACGAAGCCGGGAGAGAGATTGTGGCGAGCGAGGAGGGAGGAACTCGAGAGAAACAAAAAAAAATACTAGAAAATAGAAGTAATAGTTTTTGATTTCGATGTGGTGGTGGGGCGAGCAGGAGCTAGCTTGGTGGTGGCCCCACCTTCTCGAGGGATCGAGCCCCACCGTCGCTAGACCCGGTCCACGAGGACCACACGTCCAACTCACCGCGCCCGCGGGTCTAATCCCGTGAGCCGGGTTCATGCCGCCGTAGACCCGAGGAAAGCGAAACATACTGTGTAGTGGCTACTTTCACCAGATCCGCACGGTACATCACACTGACAGGTGGGGCCAGATGCGGTGGGGCCCGTGGATCTGTTATTATGGGGGAGGGAGTTGGGATGAGACTGGTAGGTGCAGCCGTGCAGGGGGGGTTGTGGATATGGCGGATTTAGGCGCGGTGGGCCCGCGAGAGGCGACGGCCACAGAACATAGAAGGGGGTGGGGAGACGCGGGGGGGGGGGGGGATTTTGGGGGTGTGGCTCCGAATCAATTGCTTGGCTGCTCTGCCGCCAATGGGCGCCGTCACGACTCCCTGTCTTTCTCTTTCTTCTTCTCTCCCTGCTGGCCTCCGGGCTCCGGTACCCTGTGTCCCTGTCCGTGGGCCACCACCACCGTCCAATAGGAGTACCTGTTGGACCTAGATCTCTGCAAAGGAATACTAGAGTTCTTGGGCTGGTTATAGGCCGGCCCAGCTATCCTTTGCAGAACTCCTCCAGTGATCCGGTCTCTAGGCTGAGCTGCATGCCCTGTGCAGTCCAGTAAACCATCTTTTTTTTAATGCTATTGTCTCTATTGTAAAATCAAAGTCCACTAAACACATTATTCTAAATCCAGTACTTTATTATAAATCCATCCTCACAATCACATTCCATCAACACCTCCAATCATATAGGTCTAGGCGTATTAGCCCGTTGAATAGTTGCATACTTATACTCCATTCACTTCATATTATAATAAGTCGTTTGGATTTTTTTTCCATAGTCAACCTTTTTAAAAAATTGACTAAGTTTATAGAAAAATATAGGAACACTTCTAACACAAAACAAACATATTATTAAAGTATATTTTGCATCTAATGAAACTAATTTGGTGTTGTAGATATTGCTATTTATTTTTATAAATTTAGCCAAACCTAGAAAAGTATAACTAGAAAAGAAGATCAAAGCAATTTATAATATGACTAAACAGATTTAGGACCAAAATAATATAGCACAGACGTCACTATATGCTACTAGCTTCGTTTCAGGTTATAAGACATTTTGACTTTGATCAAAGTCAAACTGCTTCAAGTTTAACTAAGTTTATAGAAAAACATAGTAACATTTTCAACCCAAGTCAAATTTATTATGAAAATATATTCAATAATTGATTGAATGAAACTAATTTGGAATTATAAATATTATTATATTTGTCTATAAACTTAGTCAAACTTAAATTAGTTTGATTTTGACCAAAGTCAAAACATTTTTTACCCTGAAACGGAGGGAGCACTATGCAAGCACATAACAAGCCTTTGAATGTCACCCTTGCCGTTATAGTCCCTCATGTACTAATCGTTTTTTTTAACGTAAAGAGAGACTTTGAGCTTGTTTGGGGGAGTTTCTAGCTGCTGCAGATTCTTTTAGAATCAGAAGCTCCCCAAACAGTCCAGCTTTTGATCTAGATTCTAAAAAGCTGTAGTTGTAGAATCAAAAAAATGAACTAGAAGCTAAAAACTAGGAAACCCAACTTTTCCATATTCTCAGAAGCTGGCTACCAACCAATTGCTTCTCATAATTTTAAGCTTTTCAAACAGACCCTTTATTAATTACTAAAATTTGGATTACATTCCTTATTTAATAGCTCAAGATTTTCTGCTGGGGCACACAATCTTCACTCCAAGCAAATTCTTGAACTAAATGCCAGCTGAGTCAATGCATGCAAATGCACACTATCTTTATGTGGATCACTTTCACTTCTTGTAGACGTTGCATCGCTCACAGATTATTCCTTCTCACGGATGAGCGTTTCATTGTCAAGCTAGCCACAACCTCTACGTTGTCAGATACGGAGTACATTACTAATCGTATTTTCACCTGTGAACTTCTCACTCCTTCCCGTATTTTCAGCGTAAACGATTCTATCGTCACATCGACAAAAACCTTTCGATTGCACTTTGCACATGGCTGGTCCAATGCAACTGCATTTTCATTCATGCACAACGCTTGCTTGGCCACGTTAATGTGCTTGTGCAGCGTCACTGTGCAGAGAGAACGTGCGTCCTACCTGCTACACGAATGAACGATATTAATTACTTAGCGTATGTATATATGGCGTAAACCATGTATCAGCCGTACATAGTACGTGGATTATTACTGTGCGCAGCGGCGCTTAAGTCTTAAGTGCCATTTTGCCGTACGTACCTGGTTGTTGACTGTGCGTACGTGTCTCTGGTTTAGTTTATTATGTCTCGTCCGTCGGCCGTCGCTAAGACTCTTGCTGACAACTGACTGACTGCAATCAGCGGCGGAGCTAGAAAATTAATTCATCGGTATCACCGAGATCAGAATACACTAATCTTGTTTAACTTTTAGTGTCATATATAACACACAATTCATTGGGAGGATTGACTCAACGACGACAAAGCTAATATGGAAAGTATGGACGCTGTCAAAATGAAAAAAAAAAAAACTTTACATAGCTCCTCATTCGAAACAAAATCTGGATGACAGATCGGCTGCAAATCCGTCAATGTCTATCAGTTTTGCTATAGAAACCTTTAAACGGCACAACACCTTTTCAAGGATTACACTTTCGTACATCAAATCTGAGAGAAGATCTTTCAACAGCCGAGACACAATACACTAAACACACACGATGGCGACGAGCCACTGCTTGACTGGTGGATCAAGGGACATCCCAATGGAAAAAAACACAAACGAAAGCAATTAAATCAATTCATATGGTGGTGCCTTGGAAAACCTGATGCGAATGACACAAACGAGTGTTCCACAATCAGGAGACTCAATTGTCTCAACTAGTGACCAAAATCACAGATAAGAATGCGAGGCTGTCGGTTTTCTTGTTGTTCTCCCTCTTGTTCGGTTCTTTTTCGGCTTTGTCTCTTTCACCTTTGGTGAGTCTGTAAATAATTTCTATCCTACCTAATATAACACCAGCAAAATGCTAGCTACGGTTTCAAAATATAAAAATTTATAGTGTCATCTTGATTGCCTAAACAATATAACCATAGATTTCGCCACAGGTTACCGGGGTCAGCTGACCTCGATAGTTCTACTGTAACTCCGCCCCTGCCTACAATCTCATTATCATTTTTATTATTTATCATGTCGTGATTTGTAATTCACAATAATCCGATCCATAATGTTTGTAATAGTTGACTGTACATTATTTAAATTAAAGACTGGAAACTCTATAATAATTAATTGTGGTCTTTTTAAACAAAGTCCAAAATGAATTAATTACATATATCTTAAAAAACCCTCAAAAAGAACACAAGGAAAATAAGCGAGATTTAACCACTGTACCAAATGTTCAGCAATGAACAGTGACCATATAATCCCTGGAAATCCGTGCTTAAACCATCAATCATATTCTCTCCGTCTAAAAAAACTCAACCTATAAGTGTATGTGACCTCTCCTACGACAACGAATGTGGGCAAAGGATAGTCCATATTTAGGGCCCCTTTGATTTGTAGGAAAAATGTAGGAATTTTGGAGGATTTCAATCCTATGGAAAAAAAATCCTATGAAGGCCTTTGAGACAAAGGATTGAATCCTATCCAATCCTTTAAAATTCCTATGGAATGGGTAATCCTATGCACATTTTGGAGGAAAGTTAGCAAGAGGTCTAACCTCTTGGAACATTTCCTCTGAGTCTATCTCTCTCATCTGATTCCTGCGTTTTTTCTGTGGTCCAATCAAACAGCCATTCCTGTGTTTTTCCTGTGTTTTGCAATCCTCTGTTTTACAATGGTATTCCTGTCAGAATCCTGTGTTTTTCCTATTCCTCTGTTTTTTCATTCCTACGATTTAAAGGGGCCCTTATAGTCTTAGGAGAGATCACATCCCCTATTAAGTTGGATTTTTTCTGTGATGGTGGGAGTATATCGCACCCCAGACTGGACGATGAGGCACTGATTGTAGACAGGTGAAAGTTAAAAGCGAGAGGCTGAATGTTTGGTAGGTAGGTTGGCACCAGTACTTGGCCGGGTACCCATCTGCATTCTTCTGCCTTCACTAGTTCACTGCCAATATAATGCGACATCTGCGACACAGTACTGTACGTGCGACGGGCTCTGAAGCAGAGCAATGGCAAAAGCAATAATGTCACTCATGGACATGGACGGCGAGCGATCTGCCGGAGCAAAGCAAAGCCTAGCTCGCCCCCACAGGGACAGCATTCATGGCGCTCTCGTCTCGTGTGCCCCCCCTCAATCGCCATTGCCAACCAGAAAGATCGTACTCTTCCCGTGGTTTCTACTGCTGCTCTCCGGTGGCCGCCGCCGCCTCCATATTAGGGCCATCGCCTTCCTGGCGCGGCCACCGGTCAAAACGGTTATTTTTGGTCCGGTCTCTCCTTTTTCTTTTCCTTTTCTTACCAAGTCTTTTTTTTAACCATTCCGTGAGCTTCACATGGCAGACAGGTGGGCCCCGTGGGAGTTAGCCCCAACCACCGTCCACTCTGCTGCCTTTTTCGCGGTAAAAAAAAGCGAGTAAAACGAAAGGGGAAATTCACCTGCCCCATTGTGAATAGTCCCGTCGTCCCCTTCCTCCTCTTCCTCCTCCCTCTCTCCTTTTTCTTCTTCTTCTTCTTTCGAGGAGAGGAAGGAGGCAGCCGCGCGCGCGCGGAGGCGGGCAACCTCTCCTCGACTCCTCTCCCCCACCGTTTCGTCGTCCCCGCGTGAGAGGTAAACGAGCTCCTCATCGATCGATTTCTCTCTCTCTCTCGCCGCGAATTCGCTTGGTAGCCATGCACGCGCGCATGGAGGGAAACCTTTTCTCTTTTGTTGTTGTCGTCGTCGTTGGTGCATGTAGCTTCGCCGTCGTTAGTACGTGACAACCTCCGGCGACGGATGGATGGATCGGTGGCGGCGAGGCGGCCGCGCGCCGGCCGGCATTTTGCTATTTTTTTTTCATCATGATGACATGAGCGCGACTGCGTACGTGCTTGGTGGTGCAGGAAGGGGAGGAGGCGGAGATGGCGGGGGAGGAGCGGCCGGAGCGGATCGTGGTGTCGGTGCGGCTGCGGCCGGTGAACGCGCGCGAGGCGGAGCGCGGCGACGGCTCCGACTGGGAGTGCGCCGGCCCGACCACGCTCACGTTCCGCGGCGCCGTCCCCGAGCGCGCCATGTTCCCCGCCTCCTACAGCTACGGTTCGTACGCCGCCGCCGCCGCCGAATGCAATTGCAAACCGCTCTCCCGCTCACCTTCTCGCCGTGGTTTCCAGACAGGGTGTTCAGCCATGAGTGCGGCACGAGGCAGGTGTACGACGAAGGCGCCAGGCAGGTCGCCATGTCAGTGCTCAGTGGAATCAACGGTAACCAAAAAAAAAAGAACAAATCCATTACTTGTTTGCAACGACGAGCTCTTCGTCGTCTTCTTCGTCGCGATGAACTCACTCGCGAGAATCTGCTCTGACATTGCTGCAGCGAGCATATTCGCGTACGGGCAGACGAGCAGCGGCAAGACCTACACCATGGTTGGCATCACGGAGTACAGCATGTCGGACATCTACGACTACATCGAGAAGGTGATCAATCGCGTTGACTGAATTACTGTTGATTTTGTTTGCATAATTGCGTTCGGTTTTTGATTTACGAGTCTCTGCTCTGCAGCATCCTGAGAGAGAGTTCATCCTGAAGTTCTCGGCAATGGAGATATACAACGAGGCTGTCAGGGACCTCCTGAGCTCTGACGCAACGCCTCTCAGGCTTCTTGATGATCCAGAGGTTACCTTTTTCCTTGACATGGTTTGCTGATTACCTTCAACAAAAATCCTGCAAAATTTATCACATTTTGCTGTTCTTTCTGAATGCAAACAGAAAGGAACAGTTGTAGAAAAACTCACCGAGGAGACTCTGCGAGACAAAGGCCATCTTCTGGAGCTCCTTGCTGTGTGTGAAGGTGTGGAAATGAATTTTCTTTCTTTCTTCCCAGTGAACCTGGATATAGCAATAAGAGTAGCAGCTCATTTGTTTCTTCAGTCTGGTGATCATTTTGTTTTTGCTTGTGTGACAGCTCAAAGACAGATTGGGGAAACTGCTATGAATGAAGCAAGCTCCAGATCTCATCAAATACTCAGGATGGTTTGTGCTCATATCAAGCTAAATTGTTTGCAACAGACTTTTTTTGTAAAAAAAAAACCGGTTCTTAACCTGCTTTGTTAACTGTAGACGGTTGAGAGTTCAGCTAAGCAGTTCTTGGGGAAAGGAAACTCGAGCACTCTTATTGCTTGTGTGGTATTGATGAAATACCTGCATCTTGTAAGCTTTGTATTATTTTGCACATGTTTTTCCATAGAATCTGAGTTTCTTGTGGACAGAATTTTGTTGATTTAGCAGGAAGTGAGCGTGCATCTCAGACGGCATCGGCTGGTATGAGGCTAAAGGAGGGCAGCCATATTAACAGAAGCCTGCTTACTCTAGGAAAGGTCATTCGCCAACTCAGGTTCACAGAATTCTCTTCTGTGTCTTTCAAATCATTCTACAAGTTCATTTTTCTCTCTCTTTCTTTTGAAACAAGACATCTTCATTTCATTTAAAATGATTTCTGAACAACTTCTTGGTGGTGTAGCAAGGGGAGAAATGGCCATATCCCATACAGAGATTCAAAGCTCACCCGGATACTGCAGTCATCACTGGGAGGCAATGCAAGAACAGCAATCATCTGCACGATGAGCCCGGCACACTGCCACATCGAGCAGTCGAGGAACACTCTTCTGTTTGCTAACTGCGCGAAAGATGTCGTCACCAATGCACAGGTCAACGTGGTTATGTCAGACAAGGCACTGGTGAAGCATCTTCAGAGAGAGATCGCTAGGTTGGAGAACGAGCTGAAGTTTCCTGCATCAGCCTCTTGCACTTCTCATGCAGAGATTCTCAGAGAAAAGGATGAACTAATTAAGAATGTGTGTACTGCTCTTGGATCCTTCTGTTTTGATCTTCACATCGATGATAATTTACAGTTCTTCACTTTCAAATGTCCCCAAGAAAAGTACTGAAGTTCTTTTTTTTGGGGGGTGAATTTTCAGCTGGAAGAACAGTTGAAGGAACTGATGGAGCAAAAGGACACCGTTCAATCTCAGCTTGATAATTTCCGCAAAGTTGCGAGCGACGGGGATATCAACAATCACTTAGCAAGGCGATGGGTACTTCTCTTATGCACTAATGTGTTATCTAAAAAAAATTAACAACGCAACAGTGTTTTAGTATCCAACTAATTTAACCTTACTCTGATGTTCTTCACAGAGTCGGTCTTCAGACTCGATTCCGCGCATTGTGTCAGAAGGTGCATTTTCATCTTCAGATACTCAAGACATTGACTATCAAGATCAAACAATGGATGAACTGTCAGTACCTCACTCGTTTCCACCAAGCAGCCAAATTTCTGACATCACAGAGGAACACGAAGCACAGAGAGTAGCTCATCGAGCTGAATCTGAGCCCCCTGAGGAGCACTGCAAGGAAGTGCAGTGCATCGAGACAAACAAGCTCAGGAGCAGGAGAAGCCAAGAATTCTTCCAAACACCTGAAAAGAAGACACACACTGATGATCAAAAGCATAGCGAAAGCATGTCAAATTCAGCAGAAAATGCCATCAAGCTATATGCGTGTGATTTTGAGCCGTCATTTGATCTCGAGAAGCCTGAAACTGAAGAATCTCTTGCCCTGAAGAGGTGTGTGGTTAGCTCCAGGGACAGTGCGCTTACTAGGAGTAGAAGCTGCAGAGCTAGCTTCATGGTCATTCCGAACAGCTGGTTCGATGACTCGGCGAGCACGACGCCGTCGTCCGAAACCTTCAGATATTCTACCAGAAGGCCAGAGAAGGTGAGGAAAAGCCTGAGTCCTGATGAGATCGCAGACAAGAGCACGGGCAACGCTGAAGAAGACAAGAGCACCTGCAATGCTGAAGAAGAGACTGCTGTGAATGACATCGGCTGCGTCACAGAAGTGAAGCAGAAGACAGAAATGAACCATGCACCCCAATCTTCAGAGCAACACCAGGTACAGTAAAAATGGGAAATCTCTCTTGAGAATTCTCTCTCCATAAAAACCATTGACTGCAACATTTACATTTCTCTTGTCAAGCCGATTTCACTCTGGTGTACTGTCTGTCTACTATTGATTCATGCAGCCGAAAATTGCTAAAGAAGTTGCCACGGTCTCCCTTTCGAAATGGCACATCGATTTCGAGAGAAAGCAGCAGGAGATCATCGAGCTGTGGCATGACTGCAACGTCTCGATCGTACACCGGACCTACTTCTTCCTCCTCTTCAAGGGCGATCAGACGGACAGCATCTACATGGAGGTAGAGCACAGGCGACTCTCCTTCATCAAGAACTCCCTCATCGCAGACGGCGAGCTCCACGCTACCACCGCATCAAGGTTCAGAGACGCATCTCTGAAAGTATTCTGAACACCGTCTTGATGAGCAGCATGACAAACAACATTCTTGGTGGTCTTTGCAGCTTGAGGAATCTTCGGCATGAGAGGGACATGCTGTACAGGCAGATGGTGAGGAAGCTGCACCTGGCCGAGAAGGAGAGGCTGTACGGCAAGTGGGGGATCGACATGAGCACCAAGCAGAGGAGGCTGCAGCTGTCGCGGCGGATCTGGACGCAGACCGGGATGGATCACGTCAGGGAGAGCGCCGCCCTCGTCGCGAAGCTGGTCGAGCACCTGGAGAAGGGGCAGGCCATCAGGGAGATGTTCGGGCTGAGCTTCAGTTTCAAGCCACGCAGATCTTTCAGCTGGGTCGGCGTCTACTCCCGAGACTGAATTCTTGCCCGGCCATGGCGATGAACTGATGATGATGTCTCAGTGGTAGATGGATGCGTAGTGGAGGAGACGATGCTGCATGTCAGGAAGGAGAGGAGAGAGATTTTGCCGCCGGAATTGAACTGATGGATTGCCCCGTTCTATCTATGCATGTGAATTGTGATTCAGATTTTTTGCTTCTGGCGTGAGTTCCTGAGTTGTGGAAAAGAATCGGCGTCGAGCTCCTCTCCGGCGAAGTTGTGGCACGCCGCCGCCGGAACCGCGTCGCTGGCGGCGGCGCGGCTTCTGCTCGGCGGCGAGGCAGCAACAACGACTTGGGCCGGAACGAGCTTCTCACTAACGTGTGGGCCGAAATGATAATTGGGCCGGGCAGCCGCATGGACCTAACTGTTAATTCTAAGTAATAGGAGGGACCTAGTGAAAATAATGCAGCCACGACGCTTCCTATTCCCAAGCCCAATCTGATCCGCACAATATTAGATCGGACAGTACAGATAGTAGCGATCCAAAACTGGAGGGTATAAAAAGACAAAATCTAATATTACAAGGGCCTTATGAAAAAAATTCCAACCGTACGTTCTTTGACCCGATCTGAGCCGCACATCCGAGATCCAACGTCTCACAGAACAAGCCAATTCATATTGGGCCAATGGCCTATCAGATTCGACTGGGCCGAGAGGACACGGACAAGTGGGCCTTTGCTTAACTCGACGTGGGCCCAAAAACCCTTCGTCCCTCTCACTTCGCTTCTCTTGTCCCCTCCCCCATCTCTGCGATCCAAAGGCGGCGGCGGCGGCGAGCTCGGTGGCATGGCGATGCGGCTGGCGGCGGCGGCGGCGTTCGTGCGACGCCTCGTGCCGGCGCGAAATCCGGTGATCTCGGCGGAGGCGGAGGCGGTGACCTGCGGGCGCGGGGACAAGAAGACCAAGCGCGGGAAGCGGTTCAAGGGCTCCTACGGCAACGCGCGGCCGAAGCGGGAGAAGAAGATCGAGCGCATCAAGGACCGCGTCGAGGTGCCCCGCTCCACCCCGTGGCCGCTCCCCTTCAAGCTCATCTGAGCCAAAGCCCAGCGCGAGCTCCCCCCCGTCGGTTCGTGAGGCTACCTAGGGTTTTCCTTTCCCTTTTTCGATTTGGTACTCTTGTCCAACTCTTGCGCCTGCGCCCACGCTTGCGTGGGCACGCATCGTTTTTTTAGTTCCTCATATTGGGCTGTGTCAGATATGTATTGTCGAATCAAGCTGCCATATCGCAACATTGTAGAATGCAGTCCATATGGACGAAAATATCATCACCATGTTTGTTTGTCCAGTGTCCTTTTGCTGGGTGTCATCTGGATGGTGATAATACGCAGTTTATGATAATTGGAAATGGAATTTACGGTTTTGGATTGATTGTTTTGTGCAGTTGCTGATAATGTGATCCACGGTTGTTAATACGAACACAAAATGGATGGGTAACAAACGACTTAGCCAATTAGCCTTGTTTTGTTTCGTTTGGCAGTTGATTAGCATATATTCAGTGAATTATATTTTCTTTTAAGAAAATGATGCCTGGTACTTTGATCAATTTATGTTGTAAACTGAAATAGGTCCGAGTAGTAGCGAGCAGCCAGGCACTCGAATCACTAGTATAAGTCTTTGTTTCTTTGTTATCGTCATAACTGGATTAATATGTGTGGATTCATGGTGATAAAAAAAATGTTTTGGCCGAAGCCAACATTTCCGTGCATTGATGTTTATTCATAACTGGATTGTATCAAACTTCTGATCTTAGGTTATTCTGCACATCGCATCTTGATATTCCTAATGCATTCCTGATAGATTAGACTTGAAGCTTGCCCTGTGTTGAGATTGGTGGATTTCATAATGATAAAATATGTTGACTGGTGTTTAATATACCATCATCTTCTAGTGCATGAGCTTACGCTCCGCTATATTGGTAATTGGTGATAACTTGTCTTGACATTCATGTCGGGCTAAAGAGACAACCTTACTGTTTATTAATACTACTTACTTGATTGTCTTTACAAAGTCAGGGAAATGTATATTATTTTGTTGCACGTTTCTAGCTGGAGATAGGACCCCGACACTTTATACTCAGCTCTCACATCATGCTTGAAGAAACATATTCATCTCATTGCATTGCCAATCCGAAGCTCTGGAAGAATTTTAGTGACTCTGGCAGTACAAAGCTCTAGAATTCCATGACATTCCTCTTTGCTTAGCGATATCTGTTGCCATTGCAAAATAGACAAAAAAAGAATAATGCTATGTGATGTGTACCAATGGCTTGCTTTGCACGTTTCACGTGGTGAAACTTTGTAGCGACAAGCTGACACTCTAATGTTAGTTTAAGCTATGCTGCGAGATAAACAAATTTTTTAGTCTCCTTTTTCAGTGCTAGATAGGGAAATAGGGAAGAGTTCCAGAAGGGTAATTTGTTCTGGTCTTTTGGTAGATCAACTTTTGTGCATGCAACAGCTTACATATGCAGATATATGCTCATATTAGCAAGTGTTCCTTTATGCTTTTCTTTATTGTTATTTGAGACATCATAATGTATACTAATTACTGTAACAGTGTTCCTTTTCAACAAATCCTCATCACAATTGTGTTTGTACAAGAATAAGAGCTAATAGATCTAAAGCATAATGAAGAATCAACACACATATTAGTGTCTTTACATCTATAAGATATACATGGTATGGAGATTTTAAAGAAATTAAATTATGTTTATAAGTTCAGATTTTCAGTTCAATAGCAATTAAGAATACTAATGGAATACCCCCCCCCTCTCCTTTCTCTCTTTTTTAATTTCTAATGGGTAACACAGACTGGCTGCACTTTATATAGATCACAATTGTGTTTGCTTCCATCTCTAGTTACAACGTTACCCCTATGTAGATCTATTCCCTGCTGTCGGAGAACCTGTTGATTCTGCATGTTTATTATGTAAGAAATAGTAAATCATACTCGAACCCGTTTTTCCTTCCAAAACTCTACTTGGTACCTATATGGGTTTGATGCTAACATGGACAAGGTACTGGAGTGGCAGAGCCCGGATGATAATTGGCACTAGTCTATGTGTTACTTTTTATGTGCTGTTGTTATCAGTCCATGTCATTTGACATTCACATTTCACGCTGAAGTTGTCGGTAACAAATTCGGTGCAGTGAAGATTAACATCTTGAATGCACAATTTGGGCTACTCTGACATGTTGGCAAGTTGTTGATAGTACTAGTAAATTCTACTGCAATTTTCTTTGTGAAGTTGACAACTTAATGTTTAGAACCAAGTCTTAATTTACAATTTATAGATCATGCTGTGTCAAAGCTTCTGATTACATATTTGGCTGTGTACTACTGTTAGCAGTCATCACCACATGTCCACACACTGTTTTGTTGCTTAGATTTGCAATAATTATATGCTAGGATCCCAGGTTATCCGCATGGAAATTTAACACGCCTGTGGATTAGCCTGGTTCTGACCAAGAATCCGACCAATCCTGTTCAAGTACTTACTCGAGTGAAGTTTAGACATTACATAAATAAAACTAATAACAATCTGTCTGGTTTTGTCAATGGATAATGGAGGTGTATTACTGACGAGTGACGAACCAAGATGGTTGCCGTCAGGTATGGATCATAGATCGATGAACAGCTCCTGACCATGACAGGCCAGCGACCACAATGGAAAGATTACGCCGTACGTACGATCAGTCTTCATTCCTCATAATTTCATTGTTCGTACTCCTTTTTGTAACACCATTTCTCGTAGCAAAGCAAAGAAAAGCATCATGCGAATTGACTAACAGCAGCACACACCACATAAATTCTGCTCGATATTTCAACGTCACCATTGTCACCTGAGGGCCAATGTAAGGGGGTGTTTGTGGTTATCAGTCACATTTTGTTGCATCTAGTATTAGGGAAGTTTAATCACACTGGCAGTTGTTTAGTTGTAGCTATAGTTGTGACAAGATTTTTTTTTAATATATTGGGTCAACTTAAAAAAGTTTGGTAAGATTCACTTAGACTTGCTAATGTACGACCAAGAATTTAATTGTCTCAACTTAAACAAGTGTAACAATATTTATTGACAAATGGACGGAGCTCCTCTTACGTAAAGTCAGAGGGACATAGGTCCCTGATAGGTGGGGCCGGCCCATACGTCGGTGACCATGTCCCTCTAACTTTACGTCAGAGGAGCCCTCAATGGTGATAAAGTATGACTGGGAACCAAATACAAATACTCCGTGCTTTCTCCATCCTAAAATATAATAACTTCTAATATTTACTCCATCCATTTCATAATGTAAAACACAACTATTTTTTTTCATATATTTCATAATATAAGATGTGCATACATACAATTAATTAGTATCTTCTCACCACCAAATTATTATTTTTTTTAAATCCTCAATCTTCAACATCTCTAATTTTGTTGGATGCAGTATTATATTTATCACGATGATTTAACTTAGGAGATGATAATAATTGTTTCTTGGTTTTTAGATTAAGGTTGTTGTTCTATATATTTTGGATTGTAGGGAGTAAAATTTAATTTGAATATAGTAACTTCTTCACCTATTTCAGAGTACGAGACTTAACTGCTGTGCAACAGTGCTAGGGCATTTTCTTTTTGTTTTTGAACTTAAAGATGAGAGGAAAATCAAGATAAAAAGATGTCGATTTCATTTGGGCTCTCCATATACGGAGTACATCTTGAATTCCTGAGATATCCTCTACATCGGATGAGTCCAGATGAGTCAAACATGGGATCAATCGTCGTCATCGATCCGTCCGACCTGCAGGATAGGAGAGGTCGAGATCGAATAGGCCGGCGTTGACGCCTCCTGTTCATTCCTGGACATGTCACTGGTCCGAGAAACCATGTCCATTCCACTTCTGCTAAATCCAAGCTTTTTCTCTGCACATACACATGTACTGCATGCCAATGCCAAGCATCTCTGCATTCACGACACGGATGCGACCCTGTTCTTTTCTCCAACAAAATTTATTGGATAAATTTTTAAATATTTGTGACACGTTTTTCAAACTGCTAAATGATGTGTTTTGTATGAAAACTTGCTATATGAAAGTTGTTCTAAAATATCTAATTAATTCATTTTTCAAGTTTGTAATAATTAAAATTTAATTAATTACATGTTATTGCCGCTTTCTTTTACGTGAAACACTTAACCTTTATTTTATCTTTAGAAGATTCAACCACCATCGCATCGCAATGTACCGCCACAAAGAGAGATCACTGTTACACTGTATCAGTCTCAAGAACATTGGGATGGAGAGGGGAAGAAAAAGACTGAGATCACTGTAGTGGTGCATATATATATATACACACGGAGGAGAAAAAGGCGATGACAGAGATGAACATTGGATGCCAGTACTGTATCTACTAGTTGGGTCGGCATGGAGCGTAGGGCTCACCGGCGGTGGCCACCACCACGACGTACGTACACGACGCCGGTCGTAGCAGGTGGCCGTGCCGTCGTAGCGTGACCGTGCACGCAACTCCGGCCGGCCGGCCGTCCGCGACACTGCAGTACGCAGCACTGCACTGTAGCTAGGATATTGGTAAGATCGGTATCACTTTGGCGTGACAGGATACCATGTATCGTAAGATATATTATGATTAGTGTCAAGATACTGACAAACTTGGTAGGCAGCATTGGCACTGTGGCTAGTATAACCACAGAATTCTTAGGTCCGTTTGCTTTTCGATTAACACATACTCCATCCGTCCCATAAAAAACAAACTTTATTACTGAACATTTGAACATTTTTTTAGTACAACGAATTTTGATAGGCTCCTATTCGGATTTACTACCTCCGTTTCAGGTTATGAGATATTTTGACTTTTCAGAGTCAAACTGCTTCAAGTTTGACTTAAGTTTGTAGAAAAAAATAATAACATTTTCAATCCAAGACAAATTTATTATGAATATATATTTAATTATTGATTTAATAAAACTAATTTGGTATTATAAATATTACAATATTTGTCTATAAACCTAGTTAAACTTGAAGTAGTTTGACTTTAACCAAAGTCAAAACGTTCAGTAATAGGTTGGTTTTTTTAACAAAAAGTAGATTTTACCTCAATTTACATTAGCACATTTTTTTAAAAAAATAAATGGTGTATTTGTGCGAAAACTCTAGACAAATATTTTTTAAGTTTAAAGTAATTAAAAGTCAATTAATTATTCAACAATGATTTTCTCGTTTTACAGTGCACTAATGACTATTATGCAGTAGGATTGGCTAGGATATGCGGTAAAGATTGGTATCATTCAGCTTGATAAGATATGATAAGATACTAGGATACGTGTTGGGACATGGTAAAGAGCCTCGCAACACTGTTACTTCTTTCA